TTATTATATAAAAAAAAAAACAAAAAAAAAAAAAATTTTTTTTTTTCAAAAAAAAAAAAAAAATTTTTATATATTATTATATATATATAAATTTCTTTTTATATATATATATATATATATATATAAAAAAATACAAAAAAAAAAAAAAAAAAAAAAAAAAAAAAAAAAAAAAAAAAAAAAAAAAAAAAAAAAAAAAAAAAAAATATATTATATTTTAATATAAAAAAATTTTCATATATATATATATATATAATAATATAAAAATTAATATATATATATATATAAAAAATTTACTATATTATATATATATAAAAAAATTTTAAATTTTTTAATATATATAAAAACAATTTCTTTTATATATATATAAAAAAATTTAATATATATATATATATATAAAAAACTACTATATATATATATATAAAAATTATTATATATATATATAAAAACTTAATATATATATATGAAAAAATTCATATATATATATATATATATATATGGCAATACTATATATATATATATATATATTAAAACAACTTCTTTTATATATATATATATATATATGAAAAACCTTTTTATATATATATATATATATATATATATAAAATTTAAAAATTAAATATATATATATAAAAAACTCACTATATATATATATAAAAGATATAAACAATTTCATTATATATATATATATATATATATAGATATAAAACTTACTATATATATATAAAAAAAAATTTTATTATATATATATATATATATATATATATATATATATAAAAAACCACTATATATATATATATATATATATATATATATATAAAAAATTCACTATATATATATATATATATATATATATATATATATAAAAAACAATTCACTATATATATATATATATATATTTTTTGGAAAATAAAAAAATTTAAAAAAATTAAAAATTAAAATCTTAGACACACTGGGTTGAGTTTTTTTTTCTTTTTTTTTTTTTTATTCCATTTTTTTTGCCCAAAGGGCCCATCATCGGGGCGAAATTTTCCTTGTTGTTGGAAGGTTAAAAAAATGTTTTTTTGGGGAAAAAAATGAACTTTTTGTCGATTTTTCTTTTTTTTTTTTTTTTATTTTATTTTTTACATGAATCTTTTAACATTCCTTGTGTTGGTCAAACAGTCTCTTTTGTTGTTATTTGGGTAAGAACTGGGTGGATACATTTTTCCCGAATTCTCTGGTCAGTTTGAAAGTTTTTGGGCCGGAGAGGTTCCGTTTAGTGGTGTGTGTTATTTGGTTCTTAGGAGGGGTGGAGTGAGTATATGTTGGGGTATTCGGGGGGTTTTTTTGGGCCCTTAGGGAGTGAGGAGGGGGTGTAGTGTGTTAAACGGGGGGTAGTGTATATGGGGGGGTCCATTCCTCCTTAACATGTCTGTCTTTGTGGGTGAGAAATGGGTAGGTTTTTATTTGTTGATTTTACTATTTATGTTGTTTAAAATTTTTGTTTACCCGGCTGGGTTTTGTTTTAAACGTTTATCCATTTTTTTTCAGGGACCCCCAAAATCTTTTTAATGTTATCTCTCTGAACTTTTCTATTCTTCTTATATGAATCTGGCATGGGGTTTTGGGAAAAAAGTTTTTAGGGGGAAAAGGTTTTTTCAGGGAATAACTTTATAGGGGGCATTTAATTAATTTTAAATTTTTAATTTTAAAATTAAAGGGCCATTCAATTTCCTACATATTTTTTCTGTAGGGGGTGCATTCTAGGAGGGGAAAATTTTGTTTTTTACTTCACAGTTAGAATTGGGGAGATTTTGGGAAAAAATTTAGTGATTGATGTGAAGAAATTGTTTTTTAATAGGGTTTCCTAAACTTTTTTTTGTTACAAATTTTTGGGAAAAACCTTTTTTTTTGCTCGTTTCAGGGTTACCTTTCCCCGAAATGGTTCCCTATGTTTTTTTTAGGTTCGGTTCGATTTTGAAGGGCGTTCTTAAAAAAAGTTTTTTGGGTCTTTTTGAGATGTAGTGTCGTTTGTAGTTTCCTGTTTTCATCTATGTAAATGCGGGTGTCTAAAATGTTACTGATGTTGTGGATTTTTCATATTCAAACTTAATTGAGTCGTGCACTGTGTTTAGGGTCATAAGGAATTGGGTAAGTTTGTCATCACTACCCGTGTATACAAAGAATATATCATCGATATATCTTTGCATAGAATACGAGTCGCTACCAATGATTGGATAGATATGGGTCTCCTCAAATTTTCCCATGAATATTGTAGCATATGATGGAGCAGCAATGGTGCCCATGGCACAGACTCTTATTTGAAGGTAGTGTGCTCCATTGAAGTTGAAAGTATTCAATGTAAGGACATGCTCCATGAGTTTTATGATGACTTCTGTGGGGGGGGTTCTGTTTTCTTCTTTTTTTTTAGTAAAGTGCTTCCTGAAGGGCGGCCAGCCCTTGATGTTTTTAATGTTTGAATATAGTGACCTAACATCCATAGTCACTAGAATAGCATTCTCTGTAACTGTTTGTATGTGATTAATTTTTTGTTCAGTAGATCTGTTGTGTCTCTGATGTAGGATTTTACTTCCTTAGCTAGCGGTTGTATGTAATGGTCTATGTATTTGGAAATTTTTTGTCGTGTGGCAGTTGAACGATGAAATAACCGGCCTTCCTGGATTGTTGCTTTGTGTATTTTAGGAAGGAGATAGAAGCGGGCAGGTGTAATGTTTGTGGGTGTAAGTGTTGTGCATGTTTCCTTGTCGATTAGATTGTTGCGAACATTAAGTTTAGTGAGCTAGTTAATTTTTTTTTGGTATTCTGGAAGGGATCTGTAGGTATGCTTTGTAGGTTTCTTTGTCGGCTAGCTGTTTGTTGGCCTCTTTAACGTATTCTTCGATTCCAGATCACTGTCGCACCCCCTTTGTCAGCCTGTGTTATGATTAAATCATCCCTATGTGTCAGTGTATCGAGGGGCTATCATTCTCCTTCAGTCATATTGTCACGCTGGCATTTACGTGCTTGTTTTTATATATATATATATATATATATATATATAATATATATAAAACAATATATATATATATATATATATATATATATATAAAACAACTTCATATATACATATATATATATATATATATATATATATATATATATATATAAAACAACTTCACTATATATATATATATATATATATATATATATATATAAAACAACTTCACTATATATATATATATATATATATATATATAATAAAAACAACTTCACTATATATATATATATATATATAAGAGGCAAAGTTTTCTTTAGCAACACATTTCTTCCCTTGAGGAACTTTGTCAAGGTAAATGTGATAAAGTTCCCCAGAAGATGAAAAGTTTGCCTTTTGTCTTTTATTTATATTGTCTTTACAGATATATTTTATTTATATCTGAATTTTTACACACAGACACACACACACACATAAATAGTATTGTCATAATGGTTTACCATGTAACTATAAGTTTTATGTGTCCCTAAATGTAGAATCATCAGGCTGCTGCTGATGACTTTCTAGTTTTACTGGTATTTATTCCCACAGGTCAATCGAAGCTGTTATTAGGTGTGAGTGGTATGGGTATTCATTGGCCATATGTCCCAGAATAACCTATGGAAAAAAATACTCAGAGATGGTATAGACATTTTTAAGGCTTATGAATCTGCCTCAATTGAAAAACATACTCCAGAACACAAAAGAGTGTGCTCTCCAAAAGAGTGCTCAATATTATGTGGTTCCAAAGCCATCAGCATGGGCAATTATGATAAAAGTACTCAACTATGCCAAGCATACAAAACTCCTGTGCAATAGCAATATTACATTTTTAAAGCCAAACAAAAATCACTTGATAAGGAGCAGTACCAAGTCACCCATCAAATAGTGCTCAGTACCTAATGGCAGAGCAATTATCATGGTTAGAAAGCTTGTTTTGTTAAGTCATTGTTAATTCATTTATTCATCATTTTGTACTCTGTTGTGATCTTGTGCCAGACTGAGTAAAACTTTAAATATTTCAGATGCCTGCCAAAGACTGATGGCTAACAAGTGAGTCATAGATATTTTTTCTAGTTAAGGTGTTTGTAGCTTTATGATGGATTAAGTTAAGCTTAGTAAATATCTATATTTATGACCCCTAATTATATTTGTGTACACACTAATATTAACACCTAAATAATTTTTAATAAAAATTTAAATTAAGAGAAAAAGAATTCTTTACCTTTCTCTCTCATAATGTCCTTTTCAACATCTGGTAGCAAGAAGTTGTGAATAAGATCTCCCACAATTTCTTCAGTTTCTAACTGGGTTCGTCTGCAAGTTAAACAATAATATTAAATAATAATCACTCTGCTAGTGTTTGTGTTACTATTTTAAACATTTGTCTGTTTCATTGTATGTTTCAAAGGCATCATTATTCATTGAATGTTTTAAAAACTCTCTTTTCCAAAATTCAAGTTAAAATCCCTTGTTCAATAATCAGTCTTTATTATTGAATTCTATTTTGTAAACATTGATTTATAATTTACATTATTTACAATTAGACTAATGTCCTCATCTTTATTATTATCCCAACATTTTAGCCATTATGTACTCTGGCCTTCTCCAGGTGTCTGTTGATAGGTGTGATCTTCAGGGAATTTCAAATTAAATTGTGTATTTAATCTATGTAGGTAGATTGCTCTCATTCTGCAATTCATGTCTGTGGACATCTCATCTTGTTCTTAAAAAGAACAAGATGAGATGTACCCAGTTACTAACCCTATTTCTACTGAATTTATATTACCAGACCAGGGATTGAACTCACAATTACTATGCCACTCACAGGACAATAGCTTAGTAGATTAAAGTGTTGGTTTGTGGCATAGTAATTGTGAGTTCGATCTCCAGAGACAGAGGAAACATGACTAACATTAACTGAGCAGTGCTAAAAGGGAGAGAACTAGATGACAGCTGAAGATGGACAGCAGAATGAGAAAAAAATTCACTAAATAGACTAAATAAAGGGTTCAATTCAAAAGGTTACTCAGACTGACAGATACCTGAATAAGGCCTGACAGCACAGTGACTGAAATGTTACAATAAAGAAAAGAATATTAGTCCTAATGTAAACAATGAAAACATTTCATCCCAAAAATTCAGACAAATTGATTTATAATCTGAAACAAGAAACATGATAGCAAACAGAATCTATGTTTCCCAGCTGGAATGAAAACATTATTAGGAATCCTAGAGGAATATGATAAACAAAATTGTTTAAACTTTGGAAGTAGAGTGTTATTTGTTTCATCTTCCTTATTGTTTTTGTAGTCAACACAATGTTTTAGCTAAAAAATTCAAAATAAGAATGAAAATCTTCATACTATTTTAACTTTTGTACAGAATTTACTTCTTTTGTTTAGGTGATTATACCATTAAAGCCATTAATTCAAAACATAAATGAAAAAGCATTAAAGACTCATTTTAAGAACATAGCATTTCTTATAAATTCACATAAGGCTAAATTTTGTTTTCTTACATAAGTAGAACAAAATAATCCACATTGTAAAACAATCATCTTGTTATCAGTCTTTTATTTATATCAAATTGTGTTTACAACATAAGCAGTAACATTTAATTTTCATAACAATTTTTAGAAGCATATTTCAGTAAGTATTTAATCTGTGTTGTTTATTTTTAATTCAAATTTTTAATATTGCCATATATAAGCAATGTTTCTGTCAATGAAGTTTTTCATAAATTCATATTTACAGAGAAGGAATTTGTATCTGCCTTGTAAGTTAGCAGAAAAAATATAAATGGGTTAACATTTAAAGTAAATATAAAATAAATGTAATCTTGGCTTCTAAAAACAACTTTTTTTAGAAGTATAATTTTAAAAATATTAAAATTTTTATAGAATCCTATAATTTTAGGTCTGTCAACATTAGTTAACGATTTTATTTCCTGCAGCATTCATAGTAATTATTGCTGTTGCTTGACATTTAACATTCCTACAAATTAGTCAAGTGAAGCAAAAAAAAACAAACTTGTTTTGGAGTTATCTAGATAAGTCAAATTAAATTTTTTTAATAAAATTTAAAAAAAAATATACTGAATTATGTAAACTAAAATAGTAAGTTTGCTGAATTAATTTTATTATTATTATTAATATAAATATTATATTCAAAATGTTTCTGTCATGGTCAGCTCTATGTAGCTATGTCTCATGTAGAAAGTTCAAGTGCACTTAACATGATGACAAAAAGGAACTTTAGAAAATAGATGTCTTGCTGAAAATATTGTTTATACTGAAATTTTACAGAGGTAAACATAACTTCTATTACAACTTACTTTTCTCTGCCTATAGAATGGATATTTGGCTCATTTTAAAAAAATAAATGAAAAAAATTGAATGAAAAAATCATTTGAAGAAGGCTGCAGAATTAACCAGTTGAAATATTGTACTGAAGATAACCAAGAAATAAAATGACAAATAAACCATAAAATTTAACATGTTTCTTAACAACGTTACTTAATTTCAGTGATTGGATTAGAACCAGTGTTTCAACATGTTATGGCTGTAAGCAAGATTTAGTGCTAAGTTTCTAAAATACCAAGTGTTAAGAAAAATTAGGATATAGTAACATTCAAGTCCTGAGATTTAGACTAGCTTTGTAAAAATATGGAAGACAAAAAATCATTGATTAAATGCAAAGTAAAGTTTCTTACTTGCTTTCCATTTCATATGTTATGTCATTGATTTTGTTGGCTAACTGCTGGATGTACGTACGAGCTTCTTTCTCTGCTGTGTATTCCACTGATTGAAGAATAATATCTTCTAAGTAGGTGTCCACAGTGTTTTGGTGAACTTTCACCACCTAGATTAACAAATAAAAAAACAATGTAAAGTAATATAAAACACTTCATTTTTATTTTGAAGAGATATCATATTCTGAAGAGGTGCTGAAAGGTTCTCAACCCAACCTGCTTTCCAAAATCTGAGCATCATTTTGTTATTGTAGTTGGAAAGTTTTCTTTTATATTATATAGTGTCATTTGGCAGGAGCCTTATAGAAAATAAACCCTATTTCCAATACAATTACATACCCATATACATACCATATTAAAATACACCCAAACTTTATTTTCCACCCAATAACAGACAGTATTATAAACATGCTTAGAAGATTTCACATGCTTCCTAAAGCCTCCTGATCAGAGGCCTTGCTGTTGCATTTAGTTTATCATCTTACTCAGGATGTGGATGTAGTTTATTGTCTTACCCAGGATCCTTCATTTTGGTGTGTCTTACCCCTCATCAGAGGTGTAGTTGGTACATTCTGAAGCCCCAGCCGACACGGCCAACATGCTGTTTAAAGCAAATTGTCTATTGTTTAGAAATTAATATCAGTACATAAAATATTTTTACCAACCAGAGAAAACTAAAACCGTATTTTTTTTAACCTACTTTCAGGAAAAATTTCTTCTAAAAAAAACCCACAGATTTTGACTTTCAGAAATTCAGAAAAGCAGTTTTCTCAAGGCAAACACAAAATATTTGAATGCTGACCAGAAACAACATCAAGTAGCCATCTCCAAGTTGATTTTGCAGCATTTTCAGTGAGCTAGGGATAATTTTTTGGAATGATTTGTCTTTGTTGATGAAACATAGTTGTGTCACTACAATCTGGAGAGCAGTCCATGCAGTAGTAGCATTTGGGTTCTCCATAGCTGAAGAATTTCAAGACTCTAAAAAGGAGGATTGGCAATGTTTTTTTGAGATAAGGAAAGTATTTTGATGACTGAATATCTTCAGGAGTCAAACATTTAACTCAGATTATTATTCTAATTTGCTATGTTGATTAAATAAGTAGTAACAGTCTATGAGATAAGCTTGCTAATTATTGTTCTGCTATGAGGTGCCCTTGGCAGATACACCTGTACTCATATGCCAACACCAATTGTGTTGGCATATGAGTGCATACAAAAAGATTCCTTTTTATAAGTACCTAACTTCTAACTCTTTTACAATGTATACAATAGATAAGTCTGTTCCTTTCTTATCAGACTTCACAGATATTATTTTATAACAGGTCCAATATAAGAAAATGTGATGTTTTGTTGCTTACTCAGATCAATGTTTCAAAATGGCTTTAAGTGAATAAAGCATGTAGCTCTTAGCCATCCTTCTTCAAACCTCATGGACTGGCACTACATAAGATCTGTACCAAATAACAGAAAGCACATCACTTGAGGACATTCAACAGCAGTAAGAACTAAAATGGATAGCACATGTGACTCGAAGAGAAAATAATGACATAATCAAGATGCTGATGTTCCACACTATTTCAAACAAAAGATTTTGTGGGAAGCCACCATCAAAACTGGAATGAATGATAACAGTGAACTTGAGAAGCATATTTTCTTGGAAAAGTGTTTTAATAGAAAGATTTTATAAATTTTAACCAAAAGTAGCACTGGCTGCTCAGTTAATGAATGTTGTATGTTTCCTTATAAAGAAACAGCTACCACTACCATTAACTACCATGTTTAAAATATGAAATGCATTTTACGACAGATATTCATATCAGTAATTTTACTGCAATTATTTATATATTGAGAATTTACAATTGTGTACACATGCTCAAAATTACAGCTCCTGTGTAAACTTTAAAAAATGTATACAACCATTTTCTCAGATCAATGATTAAAAATAGTTTCAAGTGAATGAATTCTGTAGGTCTTAGAGAAGACAATCCTTCATCAGACTGGTGATAGAAAAAAACACAAAGGACTTTACTAAATAACAGAAATCACATCATTTGAGGACTTTCAATAGTAGCAGCAATTAATATGGATAGCACATGTAACACAAAGAGAAAATAATAACATAATGAAGATGTTAATGTCCCACACTACTTTGAACAAAAGATTAGGAAGGGAGTCCCAATCAATGCTAAAAAGAGCAATAATAGTTGACTTGAGAAACTTATTTTCCTGAAAAACTTTTGGGAGAAATTTTATAAATTTCAACTGAAATTAACGTTGTTTAGTCAATGAATGCCAAAAGTTTCCTTATAAGGAAAAGGCTAATCTTACCATTACCATTAAAAACTCCAGATCCATTTGTAGTTGTACATTCTCAGACTTCAAAAATTGCATTTACAATTTTGAAACAAAATACTGTGAATATTTTTACTCAAATGCAGCAGTATAAGGAAGTTTTGTGGGCAATTTCATTAAATTTGCATATAACAGTGAAAATTAAACATTATCCATACTATTATAACAAAATGGAGAAGGAAAAAAAAAAGAATTTTAGCTCAAATCATTTTCATTGATTCATGACCTGTTTGAATATTTCATCATCTTCCCTTCGTCTTCTTTCTTCTTCCTGCCTTAGGCCACTCTCTTCTGCTTCTCGGATACGCCGCTGACGTTCTGCCAACATAGCAAAAGCATGAATCCGGCGTTCTTCCTGTAGACGTATGAGTTCTTTGGAGAGGAAATCAAACATGTTTCCAATTGTGGTGCCTTCAATACGACTCAGTGCTTCATGAACAATATTCTCCTGGACAAAAGAACAAAACAATATTTAAGCATGTCTTTTTGTAGAATCTATTGGTAAAAATCTAAATTTACTAATATGTTTGTATTGAATTCATTTGTTAATTTATTATATAATTCTATCTCAAATAAACTGAATTTATTTTATTATAAACTCATTATGAAATATAAATGAAGACTGGAAAAATAAATTTGAATTTAAAAAGTAAACATTAACGAATGAAAAAAATAAAAATACACTAAATCTTTGATTTAATAGACTATATTGTGATGGATTTGGGATTTAACAGATGTTATTGCAAGTTTGTTAAATCCCTAATCTATATTTTAAAAGAAGGGCTGATTCTCTGTTCATCATACACTGCTTGTGTATGACTTTGCATACATGTATGTAATATATGCATATGTCTGTGTTGTGCATGAGTGACTTACATGTGCTTATGCCATTTAACACACATACACTTTGACTCAGTTTGAAATAAAACATTGGAATAATACATTCCCCTTTTAGTCAGTCTGTAAAACTCCTACCTTGGGATGTGCAATAAAATCATAAAGTTGGAGACAAGATAAAAAAAAACGCTTAATTTTTTAAAACAGATAATTCTAACTTTATTGAACTTATCAGAAATTATTTGGTAATAAATATAATTTAAAAATTTTATTTTGCAAATATATTTTTAGGTCTGTTATTAAAATAAACATTGGCACAAACAAATGTACACACATGCACAATTAGAATGAAATTGAAATGGACATCTGTGTACAGCGTGTTGGCCTTTGGGTAAAGATAAAAAGAGTATCAGCTGAAATGTATGTCCCTTTGAAACCATTTTTATAACTTTTTCTTTATTTTTAAACTAAATATATTTTCTAATAAATGTTGTGAATAAAAATTTAGATTTGAAATTTTATATTCTCACCATCAATAAAGTGACAGATACTGATTTTGGCTATTATTAAAGTTAGATTTAATTTTTTTTCTTTTATAATAATGCTTAAAATAAATCTAAATTTAGTTTATTGAAAAATGTTTTCATTTCAGAAAAGATTATGAATTATTGCCAAAAAAGTTTAAAAAACACTAAATATATTGTTAAGAAGTTATCATAAATATTAAATATTTATGATAATTTCATACTGTACATTAGTACTCTAACAGTGCTATATATTAACATTGTCATTAAGAAAATAAAAATTGGTTAAGAATGGCCTCCTAGTTTGCATTTAGATTTAAGCAACTTTTGGTATTAACATACATCTATTCTTCCAAATTAAGGTGTAGTGACATAAGCAAAACTGACTTGCCATTTTTTGCATGGAGGTGATTGACTACTAAGTCAGTTGTCATTTGGCACAGAGTGAGAACTTCTACATCACAGACTAAAAGATATCACAACAATATGGCATCATCAATAGGATCTCTCACACCATTGGATGAGCTGGATTCATTGTTTTGCTGCCATGTGCAGGCTAAGAAGTTAAAAAAGACCACAAAGTTGTAGGAAGGGAAGTGAGATTACAGATCTCTTTTTGGTTTTGACAGGATGTGAGGCCATCAGAAAGATTTCTGTCATGGCATATCCCTGACAATTGGAGGATTTGACAATTTTACAAATTTTGGATATTATAAAAAGAAATTTGTAGCTGAAAAAGAAGTTGCTTATTACTGAGAGTTTCTTGCAAGCAAACAAAAGCTGAATGAAACAATAATACAATATGTACACAAGTTATGAGAGGTTTCCAGAGTTTTGGAGTTTGAAAAAATTGGCACTGAAAAAATGACCATCAAAGATGAGTTGATACAGTTGAGATTAATTGAAGGTATGTGTGATTCTTCATACAAACTAAATTTTAGAATGGTTACAACAGAGTAAAATATATTTGGATGCTATAGAGTTTCTACAATGATTGGAGTTAACTGAAAAATTCACTACATCCAAGAGTAATGCCAAAGTATACAGCATATCAATTTACCTTGTGTGATGCAAATGCCATGATAAAAAGTATGAATGAAACAAGAAAAAAATGTCCAGCTTTAGAACATGTATGTTGGAATTGTAAAAAGAAAAACCATTTCCAGTCTGTGTACAATTATAAAAGGAAAATAAAAAGGATAGAAAATTTCAACCCCTTTCATCAAAATACAACTGTATTTGCAATATAAAGACATAAAAATTTTATATTTTAGTACTGTAAAATAAAATTTGTGTTTAGTTAGAGGTGTGATAAATAAATGTATTAATTGTCTAAGCTGTTTTTTTTTATATGCATTGTCGAGAAAAGTGTATTGTAAAACAATGTTACAGTTGTGTAAATCAGTTAAAGAACTCCCAAAATTATTTTGTGATTTGTTGCACATCCACTTTTTGTATTTGGAAGAAATATATTTTATTGTATTTATTGAACAATCAGAGATGTGTTCTGACCTCCTTGTAAATTCAAAAATATTGTATTTATTTTATTTTGTGTACTGTAATAAATGTTTGTCCATTTAAATTTGGTGTAGTGGTTGAGTCTTGTTTGTTTTGTGGCTTATTCAACTTTAGGGATAAGAGAAGCATCTGTTTTCTTTTCCCATTTATCCCTGCTAACTAAATTTTTGTGTTTAGTAACAAAAATTTAGGTTTTTGTAGTTATGTTAACATTTTTATAGTTGATTGTATGTTTTATGTCAATTAAATTTGATACTTTGTATTTATTTATAAAACTAATTATAGAAGCAATTTCTAAAAATCAAGATAAATTCAAAGCATGGCACAATGTCATGAAATAAAAAGTCAGGGTAAGATGGGGCTAAATCAGATGTTAAAAGAGAGAGGGGTTGGGTCAGATGTTAAGTTTTAAAGATTCTAGATTCTCTATTTTTTTTTATTTGATCCTCTCATAAAATAAATATTTTTTAAAGATCTATAATTATCGTACTGTGAAAGTTTTTTTTGAATTTACATACAGTTTTTTTGCTTTTCAGGTGTATTTATTTTGAATACAACCCATAGACTTTTTCTGTATAAATCTTATAGAAAACTTTTATTTGAAAAAAAAATAAAAAAAATGAAGTTTTATGATTTACTTTAAAAATTAATAGCAGTAAATTATTGCCAGTAATGATTTTAGATAAATGATACAGCTCAGACATTTCAGGCATTTTCATAGATTAGTTTTCAGTTTATGGGAGAAAGAAAATAAACTTATAGATAAAATAATAATAAAAAAATAAAGAATTTGATTTTTCCGGTCATGTGTGAATTTTATGACCCCATTTCTAGAAAGGACATGATAGTTCTCTTCTCACTGCCCAACTATTGTGTTTGGGTGCATTTGGTAGCCGTCCTAACAAAGGGGAGATTTAGCCACCCTCACTGAACATCAGGCTGACTAGAAGTTGACCATTCTCCACACATTTGAATCTTTGCACACACATGTATCAATAAACATTGGCGATTCATTTTCTATTCAAGTCTTTATTTTGTTTTGTTTATTGTGGTCCACTGATATTCATCTTATTAGAGGCACAAATACAACCCTCCACAAGTTCCAGTAAAAAGTGAGGTGTAATGAAGATCTCCACAATCTTACCTACCACAAGAGATAAATTGTTGCATACCCATATAGCTCTTTATTTCAACCTTAAGTTAAAAGAGAACTACATTAAAATCTAACCTACTGCTCTGTCTAAAGAAAAACAAACATTTAGACTGGGGTTGACCTTCATAAAAATAGATAGAAAGTGTCTTGAATGTTAGGAAGACAGTTTATTTTACATGTTTTTTTTTTCAGTCTTTATCAATATAGTGATTGAAATTTGATAATTTGAAATTTTAACATCTGATATCACCTTAGCCTTCCTCATTCAGCTTTTTATTGCTTTGTAGGGATGCAGGATGAATTTACTAATGTCCTGAGGGTCATGTTACAGCATGCAACACCTGCCTGTGTTGGACAATCAATAGAACCAAGGGAAGATAGATGTGATATATATATATAATGAAAATTTCCCATGCAATATTTTTGAAGAGACAAAAAGTTCTCAATGCTTCATAGTAGAGCAAATGTTCTTATTTATAAGAAAGCTGTCTTCAGTGGCCTTTACTCAGAGATTCATGAATACATTTAGTATACAACCCTCAAGTGGCCAATGCAGGACACTATAATTGCAGATTTAAACAACTAGGGCAAAACCTAAACATAAAATTTTGGGTAGTCAACATATTGTCTGAACTCACTATAGTAGGTATTTAATTCCTACTAGATAATAATTGTAGCCTAAGGCTGAGAAAAAAAATTGTGTATGGCATATTTGTATACTCTAGTAGAAAAAACATTTTCAAACATAATTTAATTTTGGAATTAATTTATTTGGGTTGTTTTGATCTGTGCTTCCATTATATTATGATGTGTATCCTATATATATTATATCATAGATATACTAATGATTAATATGGGCTTTGGAGTGTGGAAAGAGAAAACAAGATATTTATTTTCTTTTTCCAAGCATCCCATTAACTTTTATTTTAATTCATTTATCACTTTTATTTTTATTTCTTTTAATTATATCACATTCACTTTTGTGAATGAGAGAAATGTTATATGACCCATGATGTAAATTTACTGCAAACGATTCTAAAATTAGTGCACTTTCAATACATTTTTGCTTTTATAAATTACTTTCTCTTTTAATCCCAAGCACATTCTTTAAGTTAAAATTATAGTCATTTAAATTTTATGTAATCTTGACAAGACTGTGCATTGGAGTTATTTACTAAGCTTGTATGGGAAATTTGTCCCAGCTTTCCCACATCAAAGGGTTAAGGTTAAAGGTGACAGAATTGATAAAAGCAACAATGGCGTAAAAGTTTAGAGCAGACAATTCTCTCTTTTAGATAGAAAAATAAATACTCAAAATCCTGCTGGGGTGTAACAATAGAAGAAGAAAATGTTTATTTACATACACAAAAAAAAGGTAAAGGGATATATACGAAATATGAGAGAAAGAAAGGGGGAAGACACATTCTTTAACTTAAAGGAAGAAAAAATGTTCATATAAAGGCTGGCTCAAAATATTTCTCTGAGCACCTAAAAGTGCTTTAAGCAAGTAAATAGTTCTTAAGGAGTTAACACTCACATAAGATTTCTTCAGAGCTCTTGTTGAGGGGGAAACAATTGAAAGATCCGTAGTTTATATTTGAGTGAGTTCATTAGTGGCCGACAACAAGAATTTTTTAAGGTTCTAGGAAGCAGATCATGATTAGTTTTTAGTATTGGGTTGACGTTCTGTCTTTAGAGCCCAGAATGTAGATTTCTTTCTTGAAAGAGGTTCTGAAGATGACTGGTGTTACCATTGCTGACCTGATATTATCACAGGTAATGTCAAATACTCACTGCCAAAGAGGCGCATATTCTTCATATTATATTGAGATTAGAAGACTCAGAAATATTGGGAATTTTTCCCTCCAAAATTGTTATACACTTTCTCGGCCCTCTCATTCATCAGAAAATGTATTCTTATCTCTGGAAGCAAAAGACTGATAAGTTGTGGGCATTACAACCCCACTTCCCTAACTTTATGGCTCCAAGGTAGGGGTGGTCAAATTCCTTTTTATATTTTCCAGCCCTCTCATTTGTTAGAAAATATATTATCTCTGATAAGTATCAAAGCTTTGGGGGCCAGTTTTGGAAGCAGGGGTAAAAGTCTGAACAAAGATCAGAAAAGAAGCTAGAATGTGAACTTGTAAAAGATTGTAATAGTGGTTTTCAAATTAAATTCTAATACTTTCCTCTCAAAGAAAGATGCAATAAACTTCAGGCTGAGCAGCTCTAACCCAGATATGGCAGCAAATCTTAGTCTAATCTGATTCTTGAAAAGATAATGCATGGCAGGAGAAATCAAGGGTTTCTTGAAGCAATAGAATGAGCTGACCATTTTTCCAACAACTTCAGCAATGGATTATATATTTGAGTTCCACTTGAGGTCTGGAGTGAACTTAAGATCCATAAGATGTTCAAAACAGGGTAATGACATCTAATGATTATTGACTTACTTATACTAGTGAATGTACTGCAAGACAAGACTGTTTCATCACCATCACATAACAACACATACCCAAAATGGTGCCAGTAATGATATACATATATTTATACTCAGAGGCAAATGTATCTATAAAATGAAAGTGTTAAAATTTAGAATTTAAAATTCACAATAAGCAAAGTAAAAAGTAAATCACCAATATTAAGCTTGACAAAGGAAAAACCATAAAAACAAAAAGAAACAAAATAGGCACATACCTATCTACAAAAAAACCTATAATGCGCAATGCCTCTAAAAATTAAACTAAGATATAGGTGTAACCCTAACAAACATCAAACAGTACTCAGGGATACTGATTCAAATTGTAACACTGAGTTTGAGTAAAGAAATATTCTTTTTTTTCAACTTTTTTTATCATAAAAAGCATACAAGTAAAAACTTGAACCAACTATGATAATTACTGTTTTCTGTTTGACTTGGGGAAAAAGTGCAAAATTGATAAATGGAATGGTCTTAATAAGGTTGGTTGGTTTGGAGGTGAATATTTCATAAAAAATGTCCCCCTTTTCTATTTGATACCTAAGAGTAGAGGTTTCTGTCTGTATGTGGTATTTTTTTTAGATGATTTAAATTTAAGTTAATTTTCAAGATTAAATAAGTCATAATCAATTATGAAGAAAAAATCAATATGATTTAAAAAATAAATCAATGAATGTGCCACCATACAACACAACCCTTGATCAGTTTTCCACCAACAAGCCAATAATTTCTTTACAGTACGTCTCAATTCTAGCTCATGCCAGTGTGCACTGAAAGTTGGGAAAGGGCCTGCTATATGTTTCCAAAGTAATGAAAATGAAAAACAAACACCATGGTGAGGAATGAGGATGTGAACCCAGTTTCCCATATTATAGATAGATGTTTTTGCCAGCTTACCTGGGTGGATAGTTAAGTGGCACTTTGGACAACTTCTGCTATATGTGTATCTCATGGATCAGCTCTTCCCCTACCAGATCCTCACCATCTACACCTCCTAACATGTGACTAGCAATACAAATGTGGCATTGGAACTATGCAAAGACAATCTTCCTCCCACCAAGGGTGGACAAGAACTAACTACCCCAATCCCAAGCATGACTGTTAATAGGTCCAGCACCCAGAAATAATGCCCAGTGTGTTCTCACTTGATCCCCAAAAGACCAGACTTTAAAAAAAATAGCTGCTAGCTATAAAACAGAAACACTCGAGAGTGAGATAAAATCTCCCCTTCCCCTTCTAGATGGGTGTCCTACCATAGTGTCACAAATGTACATATGTCAGAATGCATTTTGTGTCAGTATAGATCATTGATTCCTTTCTTGACACTGACCTTCTTACACCCAAAATACATTTGTGCTTTTGCATGTATTTGTTAAAATCTCTGAAATAACAGGTTAACTCACCTTGTGTTCATATGTTTGTCGCTGCCTCTGAAGTGCCAGTGTTACCTGTCGTTTTTGTTCTACAAGTTTTTGATCTTCCACTTGCAAAGCATGGGTGTTCTGCAATTCTTTAATTAACTCATAATGCCTTCCTTTTCCTTCAAACATCTACAAGAAACACAAATAAACGAATAAAAAAAAAGCTCCTTTTAATGTAACAAGTTTTAAGTTTCTTTCTCCACTTTTTTAAAATTTAAGAACTGTATAATATAATTTTCTGCAATCTGTTTGCAAAACAATGCATTTGGAAAATTTCTCCAAGTAGTTTCATTTCTGTTGTTTGCTTTCTTGTAAGAGTTCTCCACTTTGTGCTGTATAAAGTTTTATAGAAAATGAAAACAAAAAGAACATTTATACTTAGCATCAGAAAGAGACAGTTGAAATTTCTAAGGCTCATAATGAGAAAAGAGGGTTTAGAAAATTTGACTGTCACAAGACATATTTCTCACTTTCTAAATTTTTCTCATTCTCTTTCACTCCCAGAAACACCATGCATCTTAGTGGCATTATCACCTTGCTTGGGATGAAATGATTAAAAAAAATGGCAAGAGGGACAGAGGAAAGCAGTGCATACCATATGATATCAATCTACTGTGTACTCATTTTATTACATTATAAAAATCAAGAATATTTTGTTGTATGAAATAAATTTATTTGAAAAATGTAGAACACTTTTAGAATTATATACTGACAGTAAATTTGACAAACAGTATTGGCCGAAAAGTTTCATCATTGTATTTAGTGTAGATAATACCTGAAAAGGAAATTTATTTATCATATTGCTGATGTAATCATTAACATTAAAATTTTCCTTTGAATTGTTTGGTATGCCAGTTGCTCAGCAGCAGACAAGTGAGCCCTCCAAAGGATTATAGATGTTGCCCCTGAAAATAATTGGCTGCTTACTGTCCTCCATGGAGGATATTTTTAATTCTCATTGTCACAGCAGTGGATAAGACATAATGAAAGACAGCACACATCCATTTGTTTGAACTGTTATTCTCAGGGTAACATTTTAGTTCCATTAGTTCTAGGAAAAATCACTTGAGAGCCAGTATAAAATGAATGCTGCCAAGTTTCAATGCATTTTAAATGTATTACTTTTTCTTCATTTGATGCTGTGTGTTTTTTTTTTATGTGTGTGCATGTGCACCTGGGAACTGCTGTCCAATTTCATTATGCATTTCACAGTGACAAGAAGAATAAATAAATAAAATATATATATAAAAATGGACATAAAAATAAGACAAGACATTTCAACAATATTTATAATGAAGATATATAAAAAATGGGGTCCATTTAATAGCTACATCTGTATTTAGTTGGTGAACTTGCAAGGTATTAATTGAATGTTATTAATATCATATTCCTAATATTAGATAAATATCCATAAAATTTGGGATCAGTTCCATAGTCATGGCTGTATCCAATGGCTGCTAGATATTCATTTTTTTCACTACCAATTAATTTTAACAAGAAGTGAATGCAGCACATTTTCAAGTGTTTTTGTAAGATTTTATACATGCTTATTATCTAGATAATGCCCAAAGTTTGTCATAAAAAGGAGGCTACATAATGAAAAAATGACCAAAATTATATCAAAACAAAATTTTATTGTCAAAATCTTTATTATTGAGAGGAAAGTCTAATGATTTTTTATGTAAAAATGATTTCTTTTTATCCTTTTAAAAATTTGGAAATTTTGATTAAAATCTTGTTTTTAGACATCAATGTGAAACATTAAATTTGTATGAGAAATATGAGCATATTTTTGTAGTGAAAAAAACATTACTTTGGAAATTCTTGTGAAAATCAGATAATTGCCAGATTTTAATGAAACTTTCAGGACTTGTTCAGAATTGAATGAAATTATTTTTGAAAATTTTCATTTTGTAGAAAATCTTTGTAAAAATATGTTTTTTTGCATCTGTTAACCCCACTCATTTAATTTTTATGAAATTTCAAGAAATTATTTTTTGCATTGCTTAATGCTTATACTTATTATAAGGACAAGTCCTTGTAGAATTTAAATCCTCAAAATTTCTTGGTCAAACAGGACCCCAGTTGTAGAAAATTTGCTCTGAATAGTAAGATAAAAAAATGTAATAAAACTAAGACATTTTTTTTTAAATAGAAAAGCTCTTAATTGCTTTTATGAATAAAATATATTATGGACACTATTGTCCTAAGAAAAAAAAATTTTTTGATGAATATTGAATTTTTAGAAGAATTGTTTTCATTTTTAAAAAATTTAATTAGAATAAATTTTAAAATCAAAAAATTCTGTATTAATTAGTAGTGATCATTGTTATTAAATTAAAACTGTATTTACTAATTATAAATGGAAAAGCTTTGTCCAATTCAATGACCCCTTGCCCAGTATTTTAAAAAGAACTTTCAATTTTTTGTTTAATTTTCTAACATTTTCTCAATAAGTATCTTCATAAGTAAGGCTATAAAGCCAAAGTAACTAAAATTCAATAAAATATTAGATGGCTTCAAATATTTTCTTAAATATTTAAGATTACAGAGTAGTTAAAAAATTATATAAAAAATGCATTCATATTGTATTCATTAAATAATTTCTTCCAGTTCTGTCCCCCTTACTTAAATTTCCCAAATATAAAGCTGTCAATAAATCATTCAACACATCAGAAAAACACCCACTCCATCTTAAAAAAATTGTTTCTGTGATAATTTAAACTAAATGTAAGTAATATTTGTTTCAATTCAGATTAATTAAACTTTAAATCAGCTAAGTTTCCTTAAGTAACATTTCAGAAAAATATATTTTATTTTTGAAAGATTTTTTAATTAAGAGAATTATATTGTGTTAACAGATCTGTTAATATGAATGAATCTATAAATTTTACTGATAAGTAGGAAAAAAAAAGATTCCAATCAATTTAAATTTGGTTTGAAATACATCAGAGTATTTTGCTTATTGGGAATATTAAATATAATCTATTAACTTGGAATTAAAACTAAAATTAAATCATCAAAAAAGATTTTTCATTTTTTAAAATGTATTTTAAATTTAGGTATTGCGTTTTTTGGTGGTATCTATTATTATCTGAACTAATTATCAGTGAAGTGAATCCTGCCAAATAAAACATGATAGGTGAATTGTCAGAGCCATGGGTTGGCCTAATGATTTTTATAAAAGGCAATAGTCAAATCTCAAAATATCCAAATAAGAAAACAAGCAGCTTCATTTTTATAAAACTAAAAAAGATTAAAAAATTATTTGGAGACAAGTATCTTTTCCAATCCCCATAAAAAGAAAAGAAAGATTCTTCACACAGATATCACAAAAGCCCATTCTTACCAATTTAATAAAGAAGGAATTAAGTTTCTCATATATATTTGTTTAATATGTTTGGGCAGAAATATTTATCACCATTATATTGTGGGAATCAACACTTTATTAAATATTTATGAGCTCTTTATCCTGAAAACAATAATGCTGAAAACAATAATGCTGAACTCAATGTAAGTCTGGGTAAAAATAAAAAAACAAAAGAAAGAATGTAAAACAAATGGCAATGCATGTTATTAACAAAAGGAAATATATGTGTACCCAATTGTAATGAAGAGAAAAAACATTAAAACTAGTTAGAAGAAGAATGTGCCTGTTTGTGTGTGTGTGTGTGTGTGTGCAACAAGCGTGTGATAGACATGTGTATGTGTGTGTGAGAGTTCTAGAATTAACAGATGACCAAGTAAGTGAATGTGCCTAGTCGGGAGCATTCTTTATTGGTTGACTACATCAGAAAGCAATAATTAAAAAGAGAGAATATGATTGCCTATTTATAGGCTTAAAGAGCGCCCACTAGTGAGTGCTTTTGGCAGAGCCAAGTGGGATAATCTACATACTCAAGAAAGAATGACAATAGATTTACAGCCACTTCTCACTTAGTAACTTACCTGTCTAATGACCTGCCTATGACCAGCTATAAAATCTCATAAAATAAAAATAAAAACAGAAAATCTAACTAGTTGGTATTGTATAGGTACTGCCAAAAACCATGCATTTTTTCCTTAAATGAAAGCGTAAAAACAGTAACCACTGTTTTTAAAAATTTACCAAAAATCAGGATAATAACCAATTTGAATTAAATTTTCAACATTTATTCACTAATTAATGAATTTCATATAGAACAGGTTATTTTATAAATAAAAGGAGTAAATAAAAATCTACTTCCACTGTACTTACAGTACATCAACTGATTTTCAAATTTGCTTATTACACTGTCAGTACACTACTGTACTGTGTTGAATTACCACCACGCGACAATAATTACAGTCAGCATGAGATTTGAAAGTCTCTTTCTCTTTTGACTTGTGAAATGACAAGACATGTTCTTTCTTACTCTCATAGACACAAGGCCATGTAAGTACTTCAGAGACACACACTGAAAATTGCTTTGAGCTCTTCATAACTTTAACTTTATTTCTTATATTTTCTTTTTGCAACATGTTTGTTTAATGCAGTAATCAGTTGTTTGTTTGAATTCCACATTTTGGTCTAATTTTTACCTAGACTCACATGAGTCCACCAAATATTGTTTGTGGGACAAATATACCAGGAGGCATAAAATGAATAATTTTCATTCCTGCAATAACTGTATCAGTATAAGCATTTAGAAATAAATTAGAACTGTTACAAATGGTGCAAAAGCAACATTAAAGCTACATAAAGCAACACAAACCCATTCCACATATAGTATGTCTCAAATAGCAATTAGCTACAATGAGCAACTTAGCGATCAACTCAATCAAGCAGATCATTCAAATGGAAAAGTTGTTAAGTGAGGAGCAGCTGCATTACCCTTCAGCTTAATATTTATGTTTTATTACTAATAAATAGATTTCTAAATAGAAACAAAGAAAACTTCTCACACCCGAAATTTATGTATATCATGTGATTCTTCAAATAGAATAATGTGATATGCCATGCAACAAGTGAAGAAAAAAATTGTATTTTACTCCCCATATTGTGTATAGCTTTTCCTCTGAGTAATTGCTGAAGGTATATCACAGCAAGTTCTTTTTCTTCCATTTCCTACAATAAAGAAAAAGAAGTAAATTAACAAAGAAATATTAAACACATTTGCTTTGAATTAACATTCATGCACACACACACACACTACATGCATGACAAACAAGTAATGTTTTTAACTGTTTTTTTTTTATTATATTTTTTAGTTTCTATACAACTGAAAGAATTGATTAAAAGATGTCCCCCAACAATTAAGGTCTTGGCTCTTGATAATAAATGAATAGTCAAAAGTATTCAATAAATTATTTTTGTACAGTTTTGACATACACTAGTTGATGATCTGTGTTTATTTATACAGAAACTGGAAAGACTAAGGGAAAATGAAGAAAATACTTTGTGACCTTTAATGAAATATACACATGTATTAATGAAAGATTTGTGTTATACATCACTTAGCATCCTCCATAGTTTACCTTTCCTTACACAGTAATATTTTAGAGCCTTATCTAAATAAGAATTTGAAAACTTAATATTATTTTTCTCCACATTACTTCTGTGTATAAAGACAGATTATCAAAATAAAATTTCCACCACAGCCTTGCTAAAGTTCCTCAAGGAATGAAATACATTGACATAAAATGTTTTCCTCTTGTCTTTCTTTATATATATATATATATATATATATATATATATATATATATATATATAGTATTAACGTGAGTAAAAGTTTGTCACTTAGTTGATTGATGTTACCTTCACCATCCCAATTCTAGAGTTTCACAGATGGACCTGTCCGTCCACTCTTCAGTGGGTATTTCTTATAACTGTAAACATTATTTGAGTTGATAACTTAAATCTTTATTTCGAATAAAAGAATATGTTCAATGAATAATGGTATTTTTATTTTGAATAACAGTCTCTTCTTTTTGAATAATAATATCTTTAATTTGAATAGAGTTAGTGAATAACTGTAACACAAAAAAATGTAAGCATTGAAACATTAACACTGTTTCATTAACTCTGCTCCATTTACCAGTAGAAATTTAACATAGAGGTTGCTAACTTACTGAAATATCTAAAAATGAATGTTGGGCAAGAAAAGGTCAAGAACCACTGGTATAAATCATTAATAAATCCAGAGATTGTAAGGTAATCTGTGATAGTATATCCAGTGTGTTATGATGGAATGTAATAATGCTGAGGCATATATTCACTGTAGGTATGATTAATTATTTTAATAACTATTATAATATCTATTTATAGTCTGAGCCAAATTCAGTTATTATGACAGTTGGCCTAATTAATTTGAGGCATCATTATTATCATTCTAAAAAAAGCTTTTAAATTCAACAATTTGCAGTATCTGATTGTGTAAAATCGCCTGTTTCAACTCAGAACAATCATTGCTGTGGATTTATCTCATTAACAACAATAACTGTTGACATTTACAATCATTCAACCATGGCTGCTGAACCCTTGTGTATCTATCTTATCTATATAAATATTTTTATCCATACATACAGAGAAAGTAAAACTCTAAAAGTGGTTATGCCTCTTTAGTGTAGAATCAATCCTCATGTTATAGAAATACATACAACTATACTATTAAGAAATAAAACCAGATTATCTTGAAAGCCTGTTGAATACCTCTTTGCAGACCTGCATAAAATATGGTCTGTGGGCTGCATGTGGCCCCCAAGACTACTCATTGTGGTCCATGAAGGATTTTCAAAATAGTATTTTTTTTTTGTATATACCAAAATAAATTTGACAACTAATTGTGTACAAAAATTCAGTTTTCTGGCTGAGTAAATTTATTCAGCCAATATTTATTTTTGATTAAGGTATTATTTCTTTTGGGATGCATTTGCACCATTTTTTCACCCAGTGACTAGCTCTAAATACTTACTCTTGTGGCCAATGGCTAATTTTCAGCAAGAAATTTGGCCCCATGTTTTTTTTTAATTGTATGGGCATGCTCTACTGCTATTTGTATGGCAAAGATTAAGATGAGTTCCATTCTTTAGTTCCACCAGCAAGGAGATGCCTTACTACTCCATGGAATCAAATTGCTCTCCATCTTCCAAAGGCAAGAAGAAAGACAGCTTTTTTACCCAAGAACTACTTTGCTACTTTGTGGAACAGACCCCCAAATAGATGCTTCCCTGAACACTAGAATCTTAACATGTTCGAGTTAAGAGTCAATTTTTATTTATTCCCCTGATCCTAATGATTTTCACTTGCTACCATCTCCTCTTTCATTCATAACACACACTTCATTCATCATTACCATTTTAACAGTAAGCCCATACTTTGAGTGGCTCTTGATCTTATTTATTAGGTGAATTTTAGTATTAAAAAAACTGTTTTAAAACATAAAACTGATGTTTTGACATCAACTTTGGAATGATAGTTAACAAGCTCTTATAACTATATGCAACCCGTGGGTATGCTTTTCTAAATGTAAATTAAGCAAAACAAAAATAGATAAACTTACAGGAGAAGGTCCTTCAACTGAAGGTGTAGGTGGCCGTGGTTTAGGCTTCTCAATTTTCACAAGATATCGAAGTGGTTTTATGTCTACCTTCTTTGGAATCTTTCCTGCTAGAATTTTCTGTAAAAATACAAAAGATGTAGCAAAAGTGAATGAAGATATCTTAATAACCATAAAAAATGGAAAATATTTTTCAATTTAAATAAGAAACTTCCATTATTCATATGTCAGTATATTATAAACCTATGTATTATTTTAATCTGTTTAAATCAATGAGGTTTGTCTGGAATGCATTTAGACATTTTGAACATCTTGAGAACCAGTTGTATGATGTTAATTCAACTTTGCAGCCAATCAGAGGAAACATTTCTCATGTGGGAACAGATGCTCTTCTGTGGAGTTACTCAGTTGTCAATGAGATACCACTGCATGAAATTATATCTTGTGTTATTGTTGTTTCCACAATGACAAAGTGAGTAGGTCCTTTATGCCTTGTACTGAGATTTTTGACAAAATCATCACATTACTTGGGATGAACAGCTCCCCCTGCAATCAAGACTTTGTTCTTTGCAGATTCTGGCTTTTCCCATTGAAATTCCATGGAGAAGATTGAGACAGCTGATGGATGGTGATCTTGAAAGTGGACTTTGCAGACTATTTTAAAAATTGGAAAGGAGGCTGGGGCATGTGTGTTAAGAGGGAACTAAGGCACCATTACCCTAGGTAGGCTTTTGGGAGTCGGGGGCTAATTTTAAACGGATGGATAATTTGTAGACAGACCTTGTATAATATGGTAACTAATTTTAATAATAGTGATAAAAACTGACATGTTAAAACAAGAAGAAAAAATAACAAAAGAGAGTAATTAAATAACGTCATAAAGAGATAATAACTAAATAAAACATAAGGAAAAACGCAGCTAAACTGCACAGTTTATCAGTCCTCTTTTATCAGAACTCAATTTAGGACAAGAAATGTGAACACTAAAGACCATAATTATTATGTAATGTTTCATCACTTGTGTTATATTTCAATATTACCATTTTATGATAATGTAATTTTCTTTTTGTTATGCCTCTTTTTGGTATTTTTCTTGATTTAACATTTCTTTGAGTATATCAGTAATTATTTGTGTAGATGGATTTGTAAGTAAAGATAAACAACAAAACAAACCTCATGAATGTCTTTGAGCTCAAATTCTTGCTTATATTTTCTCTTGATATATGATCCAATCTTTTTTACTGGAGTCACTGGTACTTTTATTCTTGGATTGGTCACAAAATCAGGGAGGGTCTGTTCCAAATCTAATAGGCCTGAGTTTCAAAAGAAAGGAATACATTTCTAAAGTTTAAGTAGCTGAAATAAGCTTCAACTTTTGAATGTCTATAATAAAATTTAAAAAATTAATTGAAAGTTTTTTTAAAATTAATAATTTATATATAAATGGTTAATTAAAAATATGATATAAAATGAAAAAAATTGAGATAATGTCAGCATTCATCTCGTCTAATCAATCAAAAGAAATATGTAACCAATCAATGAACAGCATCTCAAAGTTCATTATTGTGGCTATAACCAAACTGACACTTTGTCAAAACCTTCAGTCATTCAGTCACTTAATGACATAATATGTACAAATTACTGACCAGATTGTCAACCTAGTTACTAGTTTCTTACATATGCTGTTGACTCACTCGCTTTTCAACATTTAATAAAATTACAACAGAATTTAAGAATTCCTCAAGACTTTTCAAGCCTACTGCAGTAACTGGATGAAGCTAGACATATCCTCCTCCTCATCATCATCAGAATTGTTTCAGCTTGAAAGCACACTGCAAATTAGCATCATTTTTCATCTTCAACATAGTTGCTCATTTCTGAGCATGCCTGTCTGCTCAGGCTCATTTATGTTTCTTCAACACCCACAGAGCCATGCTGTGGTTTATATTGCAACTATGCAGAGTAGACCATCGTTATAGTTGAAGTGTGTGCCCTGTTAGCCAAGTATGGTTTTGAATTCAGAGTTTTCCTTCTCTTATAGTGGTTGCCAACCATGGCTAGCGCATCCAGTTTGTCCAGCTATTAAAGGAGAAGCAAAGATGGATTAATATCTTTCCCAAGGGTATTTGTGTAAGAACAAATGCAATGATCTCAGATGCAATTTGAACTCAGCTTGCCAATTTCTCATTCTGAGCATCTAATTATAATAAAAGTTAATAAATGATTATCAAGCAAAAAAAAGGAGAAATAATGTATTTATATCATACTGTATCCTAATCATGACTCAATCACTTGGAGTTAGTTGACAGACAATATCTTTGTAGCAACAATTAAAAAAAAATCTTTATAACAGAATTATGACTACCATAGGTAGCTTGGGAGTCATGAAGGAAGCTATATTCATTAATGAAAATATATTCATGAAAGTGAAAAATAATGGATGAAATAAAAAGGTAAAACGTTTGAATTAAAAAAGTGATATTAAAGCTATAAAATGTGATGTGATGGTACAGTTCAGAGAAAGTGTATACATGAGAATTAAGCTAGGGAAGAGTGTTGATAAGAATTATGTGCCTAGTGAAATGTTTACTTAGAATGCCCTTCTCCAAAAATTGTTAATTTCTTACCAAACTCAGAAATGCCAACAGTTAAATGAGATGATAATTTGACAGTCTGGCTGCTCTTGGGACTTATTGGAATCCTGAATTTGTGGAAATAATATGTGGGTGACTTTGATGAATGGTTGAATTGTCAAAATCCATCAAAGTCAAATTGATAAGAGTTTCTCATGTAAGCAAAGGCATTTCTACTCTTTTGACATAGACGAGAGAGAACAGGGAGAATTGTTGTTGAACGGTTGCTGTTGACTCCTGGGAAAAGTCTATTGCTTGAATCTTTAATGTTTGAAAATGTGTGTGCCTTGTCCCAAAATCCTCAGTGTTTGAAATCAAGAATAGGGATAGTCTAGCCCCTGCCTCTAGGTGAACTAGTGAGTTCCCATGTCCTAAAATGAAAGTGAGTAACAAAAGCCTAAATGACATTCACCAAAGAGTATATCACTGCAAATAAAATTAAAAAAAAAATGCCATGACTATTACTACTGCTATTAAAAGCTAACCCATGGTCATAGATTCCCTTATTGCACTTGTGGGAGAATGAAAATAAACAAAAATAATAATAAAAAAATAAAGAATTTCATTTTCCCATAATGCAAAAGAATAAAGTAAACCAAAAAGGGTTTCTGGTTACGTGTGAATTTTATGACCCCACTTCTGGAAAGGTCATGATTATTCTCTTCTCACCTCCCAACCATTGAGCTTGGACATGTTTGGTAGCTGTGACAATGAAGGAAGATTCGACCACTCTCACTCAATATCAAACTGCCTAGAAGTTGGCTATTCTCTATACATTTGCATCTTTGTACCTATGTGCATCAATAAACATTCTATTCAAGTTTTCATTTTGTTTTGTTTATTGCAGTAAACTGACATTCAAAATTGTTATCAAAATCTTTACAAGGTCAAATTTTGGATAGTTATACTCTTAAATCTTCTTCCAAGGATTCTAGCCATGATCAGCTATTATTATTAATATATATATTTTATTATTATATATTTATTTATTTTAACAATGATATATTTCTATAATCAATTTAAAGTGGTTTTAATTTTCATAGGTACACTTATTGTGCTTTGATTTCTTTTGAAAATAATTTGATGACCTTTAAAAATTTTTGTGGCACACTTATGATCCTCTCATGGCACATCAATGAGCTGTGACACACCAGTTGAAAATCATTGTTCCAGGCTATTGTCTGTGAACAGGACAATTCTAAGTGGAGAATTTAGAGCCTGAAACCTAGTCTGCCTGCTGATATGCTGCTATCACTATGTGTTACACTTGCTTGCACTCACAAGACTTCTTCTTTGTACTGTGGCTGTTGCTGTTGTTGAAGCTTTGCTGTCATATCTCTTTCTTTATTCCCTGAATGCTATCCAAAAACTTAGACAGAAATTCAAAATGGCTTTGATTGATGTTAGTTTAAGTTTTCTTTAGAACAATCTTTCTACCATGTCAGCTCAATGTAGTAAATATGACCCTCCATTTTTCTGAGTTTATACTTACTTTATACTACACTAAAACATTTACTTCTGTCATTATCAAATACATAATAAAGACCAAATCAATCTAATAGCAAAAAAATTATAAAATTAAAAATATCCCCCAAATATGAAGATGCACAACTGTTTCATTAAGACCGTGAAGTTTCACCTAATTTCATAAAAATAAATAAATTTACTAAGAATAGCTGAATATTGTATGAAAAATATTTATACTTACCATCATAAGTAGAAAGAAATGAACTCTGCACAACATATTGATTTTGTTTGCTATCGGGAAACACTCCATTGCGTGTCAATGGGGCAAAAACAGTGGAACCATCGTTGATATAATCTTTAACAATGTCCCTCCTTTCAAATTTCCTTTCCACATTTTTCTTGCTTAAATGCAACTTGCGGAGGGCTTTACAAATAGAAATAAAAAATGTAAAAATTGATTGGTCAAGTGAATTATCAGGAAAAAAAATAAGATTATTGGTTTAAAGTCAATGAATAATACAGCTGTTCCTGGCCAGTGTAAGTGTCTGATGTCGCCCCTCCTGAATCTATGATATGGGATACCCCACTCTACTACATCTCAATTTTCATGAGGTAGTATTCATAAATAATATAAATTTTAATGCAAGCTAATAATGTACAATAATGGATCATATGAAATATAGGTGTATCTATTTTCAATTTTTCTAGCTGAATTAATCAGAAAAATTGAAAATAGATACATGTATCTAAATACAAATTAGAGACATATCCTAATAGATCATTCCATCTTAACTAAATCAACAATGTTTTGAGGCAATTTTTAACATCAACAAGATTTTTCTTGTTAAAAAGTTGAATAATTTTAACATGTTCAACATTATGAATAAAAAATAATGAATTTTATATAGTGTATTTTTTTAGACTTAACATGGGCAAAACAAATTCAAGAATTTAGACCAAAATAAAAAAAAAAGACTTTAGAATGACATCAAAATCTGCCAAAATTTTTCATCCTTTAATAATCAGTTTTACATCTTCAGATCTCAGTGTCTCAGTTTCCATCCTATGTTAGAAAACTTCTCAGATATTTAAATTTCTGTACCTTCTTGATTTTAGTATCCTTGAGCTGTAATTTGTATTTTGGGGTCATCTTTTTGCTGATGACCATGCATTCTGTCTTGGAGTTTATGCTTAGTCTTTTCTTCTCACTTTCATTCACTACCTTCTGTAGTTTTGTTTCTTTTCTGTGTCTGCTATCATTACTGTGTCATCTATATACCTTATACTGTTAAGATTGTGGCTGCCAATAATGAATCCTGGTAAGATTTCTAAGTCTCTAAGAATTATCTTGCTGTATAGGTTGAATAAATCCGATGAAAAGACACATGTCTTATACCTCTTTCTATTTTTGTATATCTGCTGAACTCATTTTCTGTCTGTATGCAGGCAGTTTGCTCCCAGTATAGATTCTTAATTATTCTAATGTCTTTCACGAATATGTCAAGGTTAGTGAGCAGCTCTAACAGATCTTTGTGGTGTACTTTGTTGAACGCTTTTGCATAGTCTATAAAACACAGGTGCATGTCCTTCTGCATTTGTATTGCTCTTTCTGATAACACTCCGAGCATAAATATCATGTTCCTTGTTTCAGTATCTTTGACGAACCTGCTTTGTTTCTGTTCAATTTGGCCAGTGTAGCTTCCACTTTTGTTTTTAATATTTCCAGTTTGTCAGTATTTTTATGTGTTACCAGTTATTCTCTTTCAGCATGGAAGAGATCTCCAATATATTCATTCCATCACTGAAGTATTTTTCTAAAAACTCTCGATGAGTCAATGGCCAGCTACCTTGAGATGGTGTCTCAATAAATCACTGTGTAGAAAGCAATGGTAAACCACTCCTCTATTAATCCCAAGAAATATCATGGCAATTATCAAATGAAATATGAAAGCTAACAGTGTGAAGGGGGTTAAGTCTATGGGAATTAACTCTGCGCCTGGTAAGGAGTGACATGCACAACAGGTATCACCTGACCATCATCCAGTGACTGTTAGCATAAATGATGTAAAGAGGATAAAATTCCTTGGAACTGATCCCTCACCTGGAAAGGAGTGACAAGTGTCAACTGATTGCCATCCAGTGACTGTTTGTATCAAACAAAAAATAACTTTCGGTGCATAGAATGTTAGAATGTTAAACAACTGTGGCCAGTTGGAAAATGTAAAGTAGGTTAAATGTCAACATTTTAGGTCTATGTGAAACTAGGTGGCCAAGCAATGGTGATTTTGTCAGTGACAACCACAGGATTATATATGCAGGTGGAGAGAAAAATGGAGTTGGATTGATACTAGATCGAGACATCAAGAAATGCATTCTGGGATACTGTCAGTTATCTGAAAGAATTCTTGTAGTTAAACTGAAAGGAAAGCCTTTCAACATATCTATTATAATTATATATGCACCAACAGCACAAAGTACAGAAGAAGAAATCAAATCTTTCTACTCCATGCTGGACAACACCAAGGCTCAGTGTGAATCACAAGAAATTATATTATCGTGGGAGACCTGAATGTCAAAGTAGGCAAGGAGAGGGATGGATAAATATCTGGCATATTCAGATTACAAGCCCACAATGAATGCAGAGAAAAATGGGTTCAATGGTGCTGGGTGAATAAAGTGGCGTAGCTAAAGTAAACGTCACCCAGGGCGGTCCGCTCAAATGTCACCCCAATGACCCCGATTCAGCCTATGCTGAATGGTTAGCTGTAGCTAAATTTTCATACATGCTCTACCTCTACTTTACTCTACTGACCGGTATGTTACTGTTTACATGTATGATCCAAGACAAAATCCAATACCACAAAATAATCAGTTCAAATCAAAAGATTTTTAAAATGCAACTGTTCACTTTCAGAACAACTAAATACAAAACACGGCAATACACAAAAGAATGACATTCGATACTATGGTCTTAGAATGAATGTTTTCTTGTTTTCATTGTGGCAAACTGGTCAATGACATCGTCAAAATCTGTTTGTCTTGTAAGCTCGTTTTCAATGGATAGCACAGCCAGATCCGACAGTCTCGATTGGCTCATGGTTGACGTAATTTTCTGTTGCTAATTTTCCGGTGTCCAATTTTCTGTTGCAACATTTTCTGGGCACCATTTAATTATCAATGATGTTTGAAAGTATTTTTCTTGAAAAAAACGTTCTATTTAATTTTTAAGCATTTTTCGGGACATTGTAAATCAACTGCATTCTTTTAAAGGTTACTTAGAGAATTTATGCAAAGTTTATTTTTTTGTTTTTCTTTATACAAGTAAAATAAACCTCACCTACGCCACTGGGTGAATGACCAGGTAATAGCCAACTCTTGGTTCCAAGAAGATTCAAGATGATTATGGACATGGAGAAGCTCAGGAGGAGAAGCTAAAAACCAAATCTATAACTATCAACAGGAGTTTCAGGAATGCAGTTGTTTACTGCAGAACCAATTGCAGAAGCAATCACCACACTCTTATAAGCAAACTAAAAATGAAACTATGGAAACTGAAGAATCCTAATGCAGCATCCAAATTGCAATACAACAAACTCTTGAATGACCTGAACCTGAAGGAAAAATACATGGACAGTGTGAAAAGAAGATATGAGAGACAAAATGGAAATGGAAACTCAAAGTGGGACACACTAAGAGAAGCTTTAGCGACATCAGCAAAGGAAAATGGATGAAGAAGAATTCTTGACATGATGCAAAAGAAACAGAAAACAATGCCAAGACACAGAATGGAATACAGAAAACTACACAAAGAAATAAGGAACAAATTCAGACAGGAGAAAGAAGAATGGTTCAAAGAAAAATGTGCAGAAATAGAAAGAATGAGTATCAGAGATAAAGAAGATATGCATAAAAAATAAGAGAACTAACAGGACAAAAGACATACTCATCAGATACTCTAAGTTTTTGTTGCAGAAACCTGGCTTAGTGGCAATGATGCTTTGGTTCCCAAACCAATCCTGATCTCTGGGTCATCATCTGATATAGGCTTTGCTGGTGGTACCTTTAATGTTTTCAGAGTGGCAAATGTAGGAAATTGTAACATTCAAGTTGATAGATTTTTCAAACTTGCTAATTCATGTGAACATTTTTCATGCTTCCGAAACATTTATATTTAAAGCAATATGTCTATTCTTTTACCTTTCAGATAATATTCTTCATTGATATTTCTGTCAGGATGTGTGGGTAGTGTAATGGTTATCAGTGCAGAAAGGGAAATTGGCAAGCTGAGTTCAAATTTTAGCCTAGTCTGTTGCATTCACTTTTGCATTGATGTCTTTGGAAAATTCATGAATTTATGTTTTCTTCATCCTCACTAGCTATGGGCTGAACAGCAGGGTAGATTAGACCTTCTAGCAGCTAACTAGTCAAGGAAAAAGTCAATTCTGAGTTTAAAAGCATGGAGAAAGCAACAAGAAGCCATTTTACTATCTTTCCCTGAAAGACATAACAATTCACAGATAATTAAGAAAATGATGCTGTGGAGAGCGATGATCTCCTACATCTTGTAGGGACATGGTATTTAAGGAAAAAATTTATGATATGTTGATATTTTATTCCTTTAAATAAATTAGCTGCTTATATTCATTTATAGTACACATGGAATTTATTCAGCTATATAGTTTGGGTTTTTAAATATTTTCTTGTTGAGATTGGTGTTAAATAATAGTTTAGCAGACTGTTATTTTTAGGGGGAATTGTATCTCAGCTGTGACTTCCAGAGGTTGACCATTGAGGTTGGATGCAAGCCAAAATAAGGTAGTCGATTTTGATTGGCTGAACTTCCATAGGAATGATAGGTTGAGAAAGGTTTTTCAGTAAACTGATTCTTACACATCAAGTAATGTAGATGTGTTCACTTTCATGTTTGGAATGTCTCCCCAGTGAGGGGGAATGACCCCACTGGATAGATAAGGACATGTCGACATGAATGTTAATATAACTAGATAAGTTAAAATTATCTTTGTTGATGTCTTTTATCTCTGAACTCAAAACATCAAGCGATCACTGGCTGAGAGAGAAGATGCAACATTTTATTGAATTGGCACCATTGAGGAAGCTATACAACATTGGCTGCAGATGTGTGCATGTAGAGAATGGCTAGGATTCATAGGATTCAAGGAGAGAAAAGTAAGGGCAACCCTAAAGGATAACTGAGATGGTGAGCTACTGGATCTGGCTTAAAAGAAACAATGAGAGTTAGCTGAACAAATGATCACTGAAAGAATGTGAAGTAGTTGACAGATAGTAAACTAGTTGAACTGATTTGTGAGACATCACATCAGTGAGTGGGGGGGTCAGTGTGGAGTAAAATTTATTAAGAGGCAGGCCCCAAAACAGAGCACATTCTTTCCTAATGACCCTGAGAACCTCCTGATATCCAGTACATGGAGCACTCTAATAATATAACAATTATAGTAATACTAGTGTACCCATGCCATAAAAAATGACAGCAATTGTTAGAAAGTTTTAATAGGGAGATGCATTAAATCAAAAGTTTAGAAACAATGTATTGAGATTCAATAAAGTGAAGATAAAGAATTCACAACTAAAATAGAGCCCAATGAAACATTTAATTAATCCATTCCCTTTACATATCTTAGATGTTCAATGGTATCTATGATTCATTGATTACTCCTAGTATTATAGAAATTGTTTTTTGCTCAATATCTTTTCAGTTTAAAAATGTGATGTGTTTAATATAACAGTGAAACAGAAATAACACTTGGAAGAAAAAGATTAGCAACAGAACAACAAAGATGGTGATGACAAAGCCTATTTCAAAACCAAGTTGAAGCAAGACACTCACTTAATAGACAAAGATTACTTCCCAAGAAAGGCCTGAATAAATAAGACTGCAATCCATGAAACATAGGAGTAAAGGAGCTGATTAATTAAATAGTTCATTTTGCTTGGGAAATAATTTTGTCTAAATGCAGATAATTATTTTATTTGTATACATTATTAAAATGATTAAGGGAAGTAATCACTCATAAATTTACTAACTTAAGTTGATTTATCTCCCTTCCCATTACAGATGAGACAGGAAATATATAAATAAATATACATCGATAATTATTATATGGTTTGATAATTTTGTCATATCTTCCTTTGAAAAACCCAGTAAAAATTTAAGTTTTTATTCCTTTTACTGTAATATCAGTGCCTGTTCATGTTCAGATTTCAGATACTGATCCCTTAGATACATGCATGGTCATGTGGACAATTCTAGCTGAATAAGGGTTCTTCCACCTTTTTTATAGGGTAATGTTTGAATTTCACCATGGTCAATTTGTCAAGGTGGTGTCTTCTGATAAAATCTGATTGGGGAAAAAAATCAAACATTTGACACTGTTAGGAAGTACCTGAAAACTATACCATGGGTTGACCCAAACCTTGTGAGGCAAATTGAGTAGATGAAACTATCTGGAAGCTGTTGATGCTTGTGCTAGCATTGTGACTGAGCATTTTGTGCATATTGGCCTTGTTCAATTAGTAATGATGTTGGATTATGAACTCTCCCCCTGAAACAGTAGGTAAGGCCCACTCAGCATAGTTGCAGTATAAATCACAGATTATCTTGATGGATGTTGAAGAAACATAAATGTGCCTGAGAAGGACTAGTCACCCTAGCAGATGAGTGTATTCAGAAATGAGCAGCCAGCCATCATTAGTGAGCACACAATGTATGCTAACACTTTCTTGAATAATTATTTTCATTTGCAACACATCTATTCAGAATTACATCACTGTTTTCAGGCACATGGCTTTAACTTTAAAAATATCAGGAAGTACAAGTTGATGTAGTGACTTTTCACACTAAAAAGAACATTTGTTCTGTTAATAGAACTGGCTATAGTTCTTCCGACTGTGGGATTACCTCACTTGTCAGCCAAAGAGCTTCTGTTAAAAATGGCTGGAGGGTGTTGCCAAAGTAGTATATAAGAAAAATGCACAAAAGTCTTATCCTCTTGACCAATAGGATGCCTTAGAGATAAGACAAGTCACATTCACTTTTTGGTTCACAGTGAACCTTATGAACACAACATATGATAGTACACAGCTTATTTGATTACACATTGGGATATCTAACAATTCTACCAAACCAATGGATAAAGAACTCTTCTAAAATATGTCACAATCTTTCATAAGAACTTATTATAAGGGCATCTCTACATAAACACCTTCAATCACTCATTTTGTATTCCTTCCATTTAGTTTGCTCAGGCAATAAAATATGTTGTTTTTGATTGTATGTAATTGTATATTAATTATTTCCTCTTGTTTCAGGAAACTCCAATGCATCCACTATACTATATCTGTTACTAAATATTCTTCAGCAACTTGGATCATTCCCCCAACTCTATACCCAGAAAAACAGCTATCATTAAGTGGTAGATCTCTATTCAAAATAGTCTAAATTTGACAATGGCAGTTTGTTCATGGATGAGAAAAATACACATTTCTTGTCAAACTTTTTGATGCAGGTAAAGGTGGAAATATTGAAAAACTAAAAAATAGCAGGTGATGTCTTTCTATTACTTTGGACATAAAGCAGGTAAAAAAAAAAAAAACTAGTAGAAGACAATCAAAATAGAATCACTAGAGAATATGTGTAAAATGATCATGTACACAAAATAAAACATGACAGAGATACTTTAGTTTAATAAGTTAAGCAGAAAGAGTAATTGGTTAAACAAAAATGACTTGCATGGTTACAAGAAAACTGAAACTTGTTTTACCTCTTATGTGGTCAAGTCTGATCTTTTGAAATCTTTTTTCTTTTTCTTTCTGTTTAAGTGTCCTTAAATAGGAAAACAATCATGGTTATTTACTCACAGGAACCAAGTAATTTACTTCACTATACATTCTCTTTATTTAACCCTCCATTAGCACCACGGGGTGCTTGAAAATCCCACAAAATGTTTTCCTTAATTGGCAAGACAAATTTTTATGATTAGTCAATTAGCTTTATGAATTCCTCTGTCAAATAACTACAAGAAGTTTCTGGTTTTTATTATAATATTTGTGTGAATAATTTATTTACTGAAAATTGTGTATTTGAAGTTTAAAACTTGCAAATTCATTTTTTAATGTTGGCCTTTTAATTCAATTTTTCAGTATGGAACTTTTTGTTTTTTTCATTTTTATTTATCATATCAAAACCAGAAAGTACACTTAAGACACTATATAAAAAAATTAAGAACTAAATGCAATATCTATAATGTTTTAAATGGGATGTTTGAAAACTCCCTGGTACTACTGCTGTGGTAATACCCCACAGTACTAATGGAGGGTTAAGCTGAATGACACCAAGCAAGAAAATAATATAGAAAGGTAGTATAATAATAATAATAATAATAATAATAATAATACCATCATCATCATTATATTTCGATTTCTGCTATGGTCACACTACCTATCAAGTCTGTGAGAAGACCTAAGGCAGGTGTGTTGTTATGGCTAAATTTCATGATTTTTTTTCTAACTCCCATAACATCATTAGCATTACATGAACAAAGTTCTTCTTAGTGTGCAGGCTATACTTAACAAGACAATTTTTTGTATTTCTTTTAAGCTGGGAATTCTAGGGATTTTTTCAATATGTTGTTGCATTCTTTTTTTTTATCATTCAATTTCCACATTTTTTCTATTTTGATTTCCAGGTATATACTTTGATAGTTTTTCAAATTCCTTGGTTGCTATCTTACAGTCTGCTGGCCATCATATCAATTAGTAGACAAGTTTTTCCTTTTCAGTTTTTGACAATTATGTCCAACCTATTTGTTTCAATCTTCCTGTCTGTGAAGATGGTGTAACCCAATAGAATTGTGATGTCTTCTATTCCTGTAACTGGTGCTAAGTGATGTTCATACCAGTGTTTATTAACATTTTTTCCAAAGTGTTTGCACATTGTCCCATTCTCTCATGATGATTTTTATATTTATTTGGTTATTACAGAACATCCTGAGATTAGATGGTCTATGGGTTCCTGATATTTGTCACAAAACCTACATTTTGGATCCACACTATTGTGTATAATATTTACCTGAAAGTTTCTTGTGAAAAGACTCTTGTCTTGTGCTGCAAGAATAAAAACTTCCATTTCAGCCTTTAATCCAGTTACTCGTAACCATTGATGAGTGGTAACTTTATCAACAACGTGAAATTGTAAAACATTGTCGTAGTGGTTCTCAAATTAAATTCTAATACTTTTACTGTTTTCTGGAGACCTTCCTGCTCACTGTCATTCCTAGCATACAACTTTAAGTCATTTATTATTATTATTATTATTATTATTATTATTATTATTATTATTATTATCATCATCATCATCACTTGTTTATGCCATGTTTCCTGCTTTGTATCCTGTAGAGCTGGGTTCAAACAATGGTCCTTAGGCCCTATAGGAGAATTGTCATTTAATTGATAGCACTTTTCTTAGTATATGGGATGTTCCTAGTAGGGCAAACTACTGGGCATTCTGTATGTTGATGTTATCTGGTACACTGTTAGTAAAATTGTCCATTTCTTTTCTCATGAGGCCCAGACCTCTGATTACTATAGGTACAGTCTGTTTTCTGTTGGTTCACATCTACTACTTTTGTTCTTTTTAGGTATTTGCCATGCAAAACTTTGTCCTCTCAGTTTTTTTGTAATTTCATCATCACCACTACCACCACCACCACCACCACCACCACTACTACTACTACTACTACTATTATTATTATTATTATTATTAACAACAACAACATCTTTTTATTTTAATAAAAATAAAAAACTTTATTTTAGTAAAAAAGTTAACAGTAAAAACTTTCCCTTAGTTCGAGCAATAACAACCTGATGTAAATGCCTGCACTGTATGCCTATTTCTAATCTATAAAATAGGTAAAAATAAATCATTATGAAATTGCAGTAAAGTTGGTTAAAAAATACAGATTGAGAAAGCTGCCTTGCTATCATGGGAAATTAGGGAGTAGTGTTTTAGTGACACTTACCAAGAAACAGAGGAACAAAGACTGTACCACCTAGTGGTGACTAGTGATCAAATACCAAAATGACTATTGTCAATTTTGCTTCCATACAGGGATCTATTTACAATGAATTTATATAACTAATTGGACCCCACTTCTTTTAAGTTTTATAAAATTTAATAATTTTTTTTTATATTTGTGATCTGGAGCAATTAACCTATGTTAATCATTATTCATTTAGCACCTTTTGTGCCACCGCTATAGTCACCACTCTCCTCCATCTCACAATTGTGGTTCATGATGACATTCAAAGCAGAATAGTACAATGGCTTGCTGGTTCTTTTTCTTGAAGTTATGCCATCTCTCCTCTCTGAAGTTAAAGAGGGAAAACCTACAAGTTAGCAGGTGGTTTGAATTCAAAGTTTTCCTTCTCCTAGACTGGCGATGATATATGGAGGCCATGCGCTGCCCAAACTACATGACCCCACCCCCCCCACACACACACTTATGGTCATACTGACAAGATTGCCGGAGTTGCTGTAAAGTTGTCAGTCTCCACTCCAGGTTTTCTGCCTGGATTTACTTCCATAGACTTTTCTGTGTTTTGGATATGATCACAAAGATTTTTCCTTCCTCTAGATCAGGAATGTTCAAACTCCAGCCCAGGGTCCAAATTTCATATGGCCCTCATCCTCTGTCATAGAATGTATCATTTATGACCCACCAATATTGTCAATCAGACTATGTAAAGTACACACCTAAGAAATGCAATTTTATGTTTTACCATGGCAGCAGCACTGTGTGACTGCCCTCTGGTGGTGTGACCCTGACCTTGGCCTTTTCCAGCTAATTTCTAAATTTCTTTGAACCAGACCATTGCCTTTGAACCAGATGTTGCCTACATACTGCAGTCTAGATCTCAATATCACCCTCTTCTAATTAGTGCAGGTAAATTGAACTTGTGTTCCTTTATGTTTTCTACTTCTTAATAAGAGAGGAATGTTGGTGTTATGTTCCTATTCCTGTTTTTAACTTAAAAGTTGACAGACAACATTACCAATAATATGTAATGTTTAACATTAATCTGAGATATATTATAGATTCCTGGAAGTTCTTTTTTCTCAGACATATTTTACTTCATCTTATATTGGCTTCAGATATGACAGGCAGATTGATTTTGGTAAGACCCATTTAAATTTATTTGTCATGCATTTGAAGAAATGAAAATATGCTATTTGCAATAAAATTTTCATAAGATAGTTCATTTGCATTTAATTGTAATGGCTCAAAGAATGCCAAGCAGAATGGTTGGCCCTCATGCATATTCACCTCATCAAATCTGGCCCTCTATGAAAAAAGTTTGGACACCCCTGCTCTAGATGGACTGGCTTCCGAGACTGTTGAGCTCCTTCTACCCAAAGTAAATGGTTATGAGGCACCAGTTTTCTGTCTTCACCCATTCTCCATCATGGAGCTGGACTTAGTTGTCAGAGCCTATTTGAAATGCATACAATGGAAGTGTTTTATAGACAGTCTGAGCTTGTTACCACTATCACCCCCATCTATGACAACCTATATTAATATGAAAACAAATTTTGGAGAAAATGGTTATTTCTGATCACAGTTCCTATTGTATAACTCCACCATAAACAGTATTATTATATTTGGTTGGTGTTAATAAAATAAAAATGTTAATTATTCTCTAAAAAGAAGTAAAATATTGCAATTAAATTACACATAAAATTTGTTAAGTTCGTTGTGTCAAACATTAGTTGAACTTCAAAAAATAGTCAATAAGAATTTTATGTTGTTGGCCAGTAACATTCAGTTGATTCAGTTATTTGAAATGTTGAGGTAAAGAGATTGCATTCCAGTGTGCGTCAAAGGTTTTGAGTTTTAGGTGTTTGAAAATCTATGAGCAGGTTTAAAAGAAATTATTCACTAAATTGTGATATTTCAAAATGTTCTGATATTTCTATTTAACATATTTTGTTATTAAGAAAATTTTATTTGGTATTTTCTTGATATTTAAGTTTTTCTGACAAAAGTAACTTATTCTTAAAGCAGATATTTTTTCAATTATCATGTAGACTTAGCACTGGCAAAGAGTAAAATGATTACATTGCAGAAAATTATCACTTTATAGAAATGATTACAGTAATTATTACAGAAAATGATCACTTTAGAATAAAAATGATTACAGAAAATTTTACTGAAAAATGATCATGTTACATATAATGCATAACTTTAAAATTCTAGATTATTCCTCATATTTATTTCTTAAAAATAAACTGATAGATTTTAATAGAGATTTGAGAATTTTAAAGGTAAATCTACAGAAATAAATAAAGAACATAATTTATCTGTTGCTGTTAAAACCTATAAATCATTAAAAATGTTGTATATCAGAGAGTAAACCAACCAAATTTTGTCAAGTCTTTTGTTGGTGATGCTGGCCTGTTTCTCTTCCCTGTCACTCAGCAGTTTTTTTAGAAGTTCCAATTGCTCAAGTTGTAGTCTGAAAGCATTGCAAGGAAAATAAGTAACAAATTAAATAATAACAATGAAACTATAACAATATAAATATTTGTTAAAACCCAAAAAATGAAATTTCCTTATTAAGCATTATAATGATGATGATGTTTTATCAGATATATTTATATTCCACTATTTGTTTTTAGTTTATTGTTGAAAAATCTGGCTGCAAAATTGGTTGGAATTTAAAAAAAAAAGCATATGAGTAGTGTATAATGTTTGGAGTGAGACAAGATACCACCATCCTGAATGACTGACATTTCATATTTGCCTACCGGTCTATGTGTTAAGGGCAGACTAACTTGTCTGGCTCTGTTGCCGGTGTACCATCTAGGACAGTTCCTCATGCAAGATAGTACCTCCTGTCCTACTATACATGCAACCCCCTTTCTTGAGGCCACAAGACATCTGAGTTGTGGTCAGTTGTAGGGATGTCCTTGAGTATTCATGTGATGGACCTCACATCTGTGGAGACAGAGTCCTCGGTGGCTGTAATGTTCTCATCCATGCAATGTGGGTTATGCTTTGGTGGTGGTTGTCTTGAGTGTTGGCTTTCATTGGTTTCCATCTCCAATTCACTCATGTACTCCACCTCCATTTCCTCTGGTGTGGTGTATAGGAGTTCAGGCTGGTGATGCATGAATGGCAGTTCAGCATTCAAACCAATGCTGATGGATATAGGCCAGTCCTCGGGTTGTTGCTGTAGTGGTCCAGAACCTGTTGGTGTGTCCAGTCTCTCCAACATCTGTGAGACCACCTCAGGTGTATGGTAGTATGGGTTGTCAGTAATCAGGTTTATCTTACGGAGGAAGCAACAGTCATGCATGGTTACCTGGTTGCACATGATACTCTCTGTTGCCTAGCACCTCCACGACTTGCCCAGTTTTTGCCCATTGAGTTGTCTTGGTTCTGTATCTGAACTGACTTCTAGCTCCTGAAGTGGACAACTGTATGTGTTGTAGCATTGTTCATTCTTCATGTGTCTTTCAACCATTGCTGTCTTCCTTAATCAGATGATTTCCCTTCACCGCTTATGGATTTGATATTTATCTGCAGGGTAAGGAGATGATCTTTTATAGTATGGCCATATAGCATCATTGCGGGAGTCATGCCAAGGTCCTGAACAGGAGTATTACAGTGGGTCATTAGAGCCATGACCACACTATCATGGGATAGACAGCCATGGGTGTCAGTGCTGTCTGTCAATATTCACTTGGCTGATTTGACAGACAGTCCTGCTCGACCATTACTCTAGGGGTAGTACACTGATGATGTGCATTTCTTTGTCCCCTAATTGTTGAGGAATGTGTTATATTCCTGCAATTTGAATGGCGATTTTCCATCAGACTAAATTTCTTCTGGTGCACCATATGTGCAGGGACAATTCCCTAGGAAAAAGAAAAATGCCCTATTGGTGGGAAATTTAGAGTCATCCTCTTTTTTATTTACCTCTCATTAAAAGAGCATGTGGATTTAAGCTGCTTCAGGAATGAAGACCACGTATAAGTTTTACACAAATATCCCTTTCTCATTTTTAATATTAACTTTTAATGATAAACTTATCAGTTGCAAATAATTTATTCATTCACCACAACAAACAAAAAACAGAAACATTTAACAACCACATTACAAGAACTTTCATATATCTACTGAATTAGTACAACCAAATCCTTCTGATAAATAAATCCTTCTATATATGTATAAATGTCAATTTGTTGTTATGATGTGTATATGTATATTTTACTAACCAAAAACAGGAGTCAAACAAGGTTCATCATAACAAAATAATGTAAATCCAACTAATCTGTTGCACACAGACTCAAAGATATTAACAAAAATACATTTTATACAGAATAACTATAGTTTTACATGCAGAAAACAATAAGAAATAAATACAAGTGACAAATAAATAGAATAAATAAACACTTAACTTCACTTCACTGAAGACTCTTGTTGGTGAATGTAAAACTGTGGCAATGGGGAGAGATGAGAGGTGTTATTGTTTGAAATGGGAATCCCCCTCCATAAAGTCTTTTTCTGGGGTTATTTCCCTTCTATGTCTCTTTTGTGCCACTAGAACCTACTTGAGATTGACTGGATCTCTCTCTCAAGAGAGAGAGAGATCCAGTCAATCTGTGTCAAGAGAGGTTTGATTTTGTCTTAGTTTTAAAATTTGCCTGAAATATGACAAGGCAGTGTCATTAAACATGCTTACAACATGCTTGCAACAACTTTGTTTGGGTGATACTTTTTAAAAGAACTTTGCACCTTACTCCATTTTGAAGAAATGTTCTTAATCACTGAAGAAGGTACATTCTCCCTTCTCTCCCCCTCCTCCTCTTCCTCTGAAGCTATTTTCTCAGCTGCTGTTTGTTGCTTTTTCAGCTGAAATTCTTGGAGTCTTCAGTGGTCAGCTCTTCTGTGTGGTTCGCTTCAATTACTCCACATCCTTACCCACTCACATCCAAGCCTAGTGACTTCCCCAAAGACACACCTGGAACTTTCTTTGGACCCATGGTGGCTTATTTAACAGTAAAACTAAATAAAAAAAACAACCCAAAAATACTATTTAGAGCCAAAATTTTCAGACTAATGCTAGAGGAGAGGCTCACTTAGTGAAAGACAAAATCAGACTGAATCACACACACACACGTGATGCTTTGTGTGGGAGCTTGGCTTGGGGAAGTTATGTGGAATCATCAAGCAAATGGGAATGTACGGTTTGTACATATAGATTTCTTTGCTTGATAACTGAAAAGATGTACAATTTCTGAGACATTTTCAAAAAAAGTGAAACTGAATTATATGATAATGGAGGTGCTCAGTAACCAAGGCACCACTGTATATTAAATGTTATAAGTAATCTGAAGATGATTCAAAGTATAAGGAAGGATGTAAGTTATATATTATTATATTTATATAAGGGATTTAAACATCCATGGATTTTGGTACAGTGCTGCTCTTGCACCACTCTGAATACAGAGGAAAATTGTATGTTCTATTTATCTTCTTTGTGCTTCATGACACATAAGACTTCAACAGAATACCTCCAGTCTGCCCTGCCTATTACTTTCCTCTTCTTCTCCACAGCGCTTTGTCATGTCATTCTTGATCTTCCCATTCTTTTTCCTTTAGAGGCTCAGATCAGCGCAATGTTGCAGCTGTTGTTTGGGTCTTGCCTTAAAGTGTGGTTAATGAACCTCCATTTTCTTTGCTGTACCTCAACACTAAGACATTTTATAGAGGCATGCTGGAGCAATTCTGACATATTCACCTGGTCTTGTCATCTAATCTTAATGATCCTTCTGAAGCTGATCCATTTTCCAGGTCCCACAACTATATAATAAGATGGGGACGATCAAGTTTATATAAAGCTAAATCTTGGTGAATTTGCTTATCTTATTGGCATTCACAAATGTATGTTGCTCTTGTTCATTTTAATTGTAGCTCACGTTTAGAAACTCTCTTCTCATTTCTTGCCTTCATCAACTACTTAAGTCTGCTGCAATTAGATCACTTTTTGATTCATTCTACATGTTGGCTGGATGTGAGCTCTAAAAATGGAAAACACAAAATAAAAAGTTGTTTTCTATGCAGGGACTCCGAGCATCACATAAAGTCCACAAAACAAATCCCTGCAATAGCCAATCATGAACATTCCCACTAGAAAAAAGATGACCCTGGGGATCACCAGATTTGCTTAAAAGAAAGTCCTTTGTAATGACATACACAACAGCAGGTTGAAAGGCCACCTGTTGACGTGTAGGTATGCTGTTGCTGTCACTGCCATGATTGCCTCTTGCACCACCACTGTGATCTCAGCCAAGCTTCACTAATCTCACCAGTTTCTTCATATGTATTACTACTGTGATTTCTAGTACATCAATATCTTCACTAATCTGCTCCAACCCAAGAAATCAGTCAACTCTCAGCCCTGCTGACAACACCTTTACACCTATTCGCTTTCTTTACCAACAGCAACTAAAAAACCACTTATGAACAATTTTGCCACCTTTCAAACAACTTTGCATATATTCCAAAATTTGACAAGTACATTTTGTTGAACCCAAATGCTCTTTATAACATACCTTACAAGTTAATAGCATCATCTTTATTAAAAATAAGTTGGACTAAGGAATGGACAGTATTTGACTCAGTTTAACACTGATAAAAATTAACACTTGATTAAAATTCATGAACATGTATGGATTTTCAAAGTCTGAAATAATGAAGAGGTTCAGAAATTAAATTTTCATGTTATAGACAATACATGTAAAAAAGTATCAAAATAAAAAGCTTACTTTTCAATCATCTGTTCTCTTAATGCCCACTCTTTCAACTCCATGGCTTCCAACATTTGTCGCCTTTTCTCTAATTGGTTCAAGTCATTAAGAGGAGGCAGTGTTTTTTCCCATTCACGTTTGGCTCGAGCCCTTTCAATCATCTCAACCTCTGCTACACCAGCAGGTAAACCCCGACCTAAATGTAGCAAAAAAAAAAAAAAAAAAAGGGATAGAATTTTAACATTTTTTAGTTCTTTTCTTTATGACATATTAAATAATATTTTTTTGTGTTAGAATACAAACAAAAAAGAATTGGTTTCTGGTCACACTGAATTTAATTAATATTCAAAAAATAATTTGTTAACTCATGACTTATTGAAATTAAGAAAACTTAACTAATAAAGAGATTCTGTAGAAGGGACCATAGAATGAAAACAGTCAATCTAGTTTGATTTGAAATACCCAGAATATTACTAGATACAACAAGCATCTGAAGAGGGCTGGAGGTTACAATAGCCAAAATATTATGACTATAACAACCAAAATAAATAAATCAGTGTATAATAATAATTCTTCATTTCAGACAAAATTTATTGATTTCTTCTTTCTTTTATTTCATTATTTTTTTATTAAAATAAATGTGGGATAATGTAGTCCAATAGATAGGATATGACACAATGAAAATGAGTGGTTAACTTCAAAACTAGATGTTATAGCAAAGTACAAATATGACAAATCAGAAAACTTAAATAAAACCCAATATAAAGTAAATGCTCAGATATCAAAGGTTCCTTTAATGATTGATTTAATATATTTAGAAGGCTATATATTTGTTTTGCTAAATGTTCACAATAAAAGGCCCAAGAGCCACTTGATTGATTGATTGATTTGTTTTTTACAGCTTATCGAAATCCAGAAAAAATATTTTAGAGTGTAAGAATTTTTTGGAGATAATAATTATTTACTGTTACAAGTCCTAGTAATTAACCCATAGTAAGGGGGAGAAGATGTGGATTCATATGTTTTCCAAAGTGTATTTGTGTGTAAATTAATATAATGAACCTGAATGGAATTGGAATTTGATTTTCTGATTTTCAGTTCAGAGCTGCTATCTATTATACCACTTGTACACCCAAGCTTGCAACACCTAGTATTCTCAAGTGGTCATCCATCCAGGTACTAGCCAAGCTTGATGTGTCTTAACTTTGGTGATTGTACAAGAATCAATGTTTCAATGTGATATCTCCATATGTCAAGAGCCACTCAAGGTAAAGGGTTACTGACTGAGGTTGCTGTATGGATGTAAGAGGAAGAAGTAAGTGTAGATTATTTGGATATGTAGGATAGATAATGGCTAACCCTAGACTTGAAGAGCTTAAGATATTAGTAATCAGGGAAGCATCCTCTAAGGAGTCTGTTCCACAAAATAGTAGTTCTTGGGAAGAAGCTGTCTGAGTGGAACTTCCTTTTTACCAATGGAACATGAAGAGAATGAGAATGAATTGACCCTGTGTATGTGGCAAGGCAGGTTCTAGCTATACAGATCTCAACTAATGGAACTAAAGAATGTAGTTCATATGAAATAGCGATAGAGTAGTGATAGGCTTACAATATTTCATCTGTGAAAAAGCAGCTGTAGAGTTTAAAATAATGCATTGCCCACAAGTTCCTGATGATGAATGAAGTATGTTTGGGTAAAATATTTTTGACTTTTTGGAACTTTTCTTTTGCCTTAGCTCACCATTCTGATCAGTGCTATGTGACAATCACCTCTTGCCCACTCAATCTCCACTTGAAAAGCAAGTCAGTGACATAAGGCAATCAAGTTTAAAAAACAATTAATATTATGAAACCATAAGATTTAAAGAGTAAGTTTGTGCATTTATTTACTAATCAGATTGATTTTTGATAGAAAATAGCAAATATGGATTTATAGTCTAAAACATCAATTTTATTATCTAAAGATTTTTAGTAATATTGATTATTCAGGGTCATACCGAAGATCTGCAAAGATATGATTTCATGAGTCCCATAGCCCAATAGGTTCATAGGGGCACCACATGTAATGCACCCATAGTAGTAGTGGTGTGTCTTGGGCAAGATAGTCTGATGGGGTCCAACCCTCTCAAAGCTGGTTTGAATTTAGATTTCCTTCTCCTAGAGTTGTTGCTAACCAAACTTATAGAGCCTAATCAGTCCTGGTATTTACAAGAGAAGAGATGGTTTTATACCTTTCCTAAAGGTATTTGTGCACAAGTAAATGTAACAAACTCGACTTGAATTTGAACTTGGCTCTCTGATTTTCTCATTTCGAGTCACTATCCATGAGGCAACCGTGCACCCCATTATATTATTACAGAAATTTAATTATCAGGGAAGTTGACTAATTTGTTTTTAATAACTTATTACCCCTTTGTAAGTTATTTAAAGCCAAAACCTATCTTGGGTGGATTGTAAGAATAATTCTTTTTTTGCAAGTGAATATTGCATTAACAGTTTTTTTGGAGATAACAATAATTTTCCTAGATACAAAGTCTACTATTTAACCCATAGCTGGAGGTAGAAGAGATGGTTTCATACCTTTCTAAAGGGCATCTAAATATAAGTGAATGCAACAAACTAGACTGGAATTTGAACTCATCTCTTCTGATTTCTCATTTGAAGTTGCTATCTATTACACCACCCACATATCCATCACTATCTGGGAAATCTTTTAACAGAAGATTGAAAAATGTGGCACAGAATTCTGAAGGCACATTGGAATAGAAAATGATGCCTTCCAAAATCTAAATAAGGTATTAAGAAGCAGGAAAATTTCATTAGAAACAAAGTTAAGAGTGCTGAACTACTATGTAATATCAATTCTCCTATATGACAGTGAATACTGGATAATTTCCTCACAAATGAAGAGGAAACTTGGAGCAACAGAAATGTGGTTCTACAGAAGGCTGCTGAGAATACTATAGAACATGTGAATAATGTTAAGTGTTAAGGAAAATGAAAACAAAAAGGCCACTTTTACTTAGAATCAGAGAGAGAGTTTAAATTTCTGGGACATAATGAGAAGAGAAAGCTTGGAAAATCTGACACTCACAGAACATATGGAATGCAAGAGAGTCAGAGGAAAACATCAAATAGCCTACCTAATGAGCTTGTGCAAATGAATGGCTGAATAGGGAGTGGAAGACACATATTACTTAGAGCTACAATAGATAGGAAGTTGGGGAGAGACATGATCTCCCATATCCTAAAGAGACACAGCAGACTAAATAAGATCAATTTGTTAGTATAGTGAGATTGCTCATCATGGATGCTTTATTTTGTGGTTTTGCACCAGAGTAAGTTATTCTTTGAGAGTATTGTGATAAAAAAGCAACAAAGAGATTAAGAAAAACTAATAATAAAATAAGTTTTCAACGTGGTAGCTGATGCATTATGGATACTTAAAATAACACTTCTCTTACCCCAGGAAAGTGTAGCAAGTGTGAGAATCTCTGGCTGTGATCCTGGATGGACAACATATTCTGGTGTGTAAGGATCAGTCTGAACATCGGCATCTCTGTAGTCAGTTTGTACATAGACACTTTTGGTCTTGGAGTTTAAGGAAGATTTCTGTAGAACAGCCATGTCAGGAATGAACAGTGAGTCAGGCCTAAATTAAAGACATTACAAAAAACAAATTAATTTTTCGTAATTTATTTTCTATAGTCATTTTATTGGCATGAATTAGAATTTTAGAATTAGTCAATAGTCATTCCGCTCATTTGAGCATTGATTTATTATTGTTTAATATCATCTTTAGTGAAAATATATAGTGGGAAATTTTTTTCCACTTTGTCATTAAATTTCTTAATATTTTAGTTAAAACTGGTATATTTTTGTTTATTGATTCTAATATTCAAGATGGAAGAAAATGAACAATATTTTCAGCAGAATATGCATATCTATTTTAAGAAAGGTAAAAATTTGATTCAAATGTAAAAATAAGTTTAACAGTTTATGGAAAAGATACTGTGAAGGATCAAATGTGTTAAAAGTGTTTTGTGAATTTTCAAACTGGAGATTTCTCTACAGTCAAGTAGATGAGTCGAAGTTAAGAATGATCAAATCAAGACATTATTCATTTGTATCAAATACAAATGCTCTCTGAAAGGGTCATACTGGTGGGAATTTTTCAACTTGTAAGCTTTCAGCCAAGAATCATTGTATAAGTTTAATAAACAAACTATTGGGAAAATAATAAACCTGCTGTATCATATAAGCCCCATGCCAGGAGGAAATTTAAAGGAAATAATTTAATCAACAGATTTAAAATATCCAAATAACTGTTGAAAATCATTTGCACCAACTTGGTTTTGCTGTTTTTATGTGTAGTTTCTACATGAAAAAGTCGCTGGGTTCTATTTCTATATGAATCATTATTTATAAAGATGTTCTGCTTTGAAAACAATATGATGAGCATTGAAAAGTAGATATTTTAGAACAATTTGGATTGAAAGAAATTGTGGAGCAAGCAAAATGAACTCCCACTACCTGTATCAAAGGCTTGTCTTCATCCAAATAAGGTAAAGCAATGTTTAAATTTCATGCCTGCAAAAAAAATGGTGTGCCAAAAGGATGGTTATTTCTTTGATGCTGCTATTATTCTACACATGTGTTTATTTACAAGTATGTGAACCAAGTATAATGCAATGCTTATTATTTAACTTTTATAAAGATTTATTTACCATTTTATAAAAAAGAAATTTGAAAAGAAGTGTTTTTATTGAAAAATTTATGAAATTGTCAAAATAGGTAAACCAAGTATAATGCAATATTTATTATTTTTTCATTTTATAAATAACTATGGAAATATGTTTTTTATTCACTCTAATAATTAGTATTGAGTATCTTTGTTGTTAATTCTCAAGAAGAAAGAAAATGTATAAATGCATTTTCATATGTTTGGATTTAAAATAAAAATTCTAATCATTGTATTTTAAAACAATAAACATTGCTGATGAAGTCAAAAGTGTATAAAGTAATAGCAATGTCAAGGGAATAACCGTACTTTTGACACACTGTATTTTGCAGGCATGAAGGTTAAACATTGCCAAAGGTAACACTGCATATGGTAAGATTGGAAGATGGCAATTTACCAGAAGCTCTTGTGGAAGGACGAACTCTTGATATATCAGCTCTCACAATACAAAGTGTTTTTTATTGGATGAAGTTAAATCTAAATGCTCCTAATGTCATCTACTGAGAAGCACAGAGAAAACTTTTTAGGCTACCCAATATTTTTATGTGAACATTTGAAATTAATAAAACTTTTGCCGAAATATATATATTATCATATTTTTAGCATGCTGAATATTTTCATATCTACTAACAAAATGGATAAATGTTATGCCTTCATCTATGTTTTGTTTTGTCACACATTATCTCCACAAGTTCTCACTGAATTGCAATAACATTTTGTAAAAGAGTGGGGCATAGGCCAAGGAATAACTGATTAAATTTTTGGATGTATTCATAATTTTTTTGACAGAGATATTTCATATATACAATAGCCTGAAAATATGGAAAAATTGAGACTTACACAGTTACTTCCCTTGCACCTATGGACTGATTTTCATTCAGTTTTAGTGACAATAGTGTTGGCAGAGGTATGCACTCTCTGAGTGCTTTCAAGTTGGTGCGAGCGTGTGTGTGTATGTGTGTGTATATATATATATATATATATATATATATATATATATATATATATATATATGTTTATTAGATTGTTTTTCTATAATGATATTATGTTTCAAATTTGTTCCAGTAACTGAAAGAATGGAATTAGGTAAGGAAAAACAATATTGATTGAAATGTACTTACGGTTCTGAAGCCAAGATAACGTCAGTTGCAACATGCTGCATAAATGGAATTAATGGTCTGCAAAACATAAGAAAAAAGAATAAATAAATAATAGGATTTTAGTAAAATCACTGTCATGAAAAATGGATATCTTAATTATTTGTTTATAATACGCACTCATATATAATATACACCTGTATTTATGAAATTCTGGAAAATATAAAACATCTCTTGTGTATATATGTACTGCCATTTTAAAATTTTTAGCAGCTAAATTTAATCTAAATTTAACATTTGTCCAATTTTTATTGATTAAAAATAAGAAAGTATATAGTTTATATAATTATGTTAGGTCACTCTACATGTGCTATGGGTACCATACTACCATGGTTGGGTCAGCTAAACTTGTCTCCCATTAAATTTTTCTGGTGAGGAGAGTGGAATCAATGGCCACATGTTTGTGACCAAGATGAGCCTTCAAATTGGAGGAAATTGGCTTTGGTTTATCCTAGAGAGGGATGGACTCTGCCAAATCTACTTGCCCAAGACACACTATGCATGAATGGATACCTCTCCAGCTTTCAACTAATATATGTGGAGGGAACTGGTCAGGTGCTCAGTTGAGTAGTAACCCTACAACCACACCTGGGACTGATGATAATGATTATGTTAGGTTACATTATGTTTTGAAATAATTGAAATTTGAAGAGGGAATTTAGAGCAAACACACAAGTTACTCATTTCAACAGGCTGTATTTGCTGACTGGAGCTTTCTGTTATGTGGATATTGGAAATCTAAGAGAAGCGTGTATCTCTAAAGCTATTGTGGCAAAGTTATTGAAAAAATGCTGCATCACAAATGCACTGGATGGCAGTTAAGATGACATACTTTTTGAGGAAGGACAAGATGACTTTGCAGAGAATGGCATAAAAAAGAATGAAGACATCTACTACATAGTTGGCTCCTTGTACTATATTTCTGCCATGCTCTATCTTTACAAGATTAAGATAAGACCAAAACTAGAGTATTGCTACCATATCTGAATTGGAGCTTCACAACCCTCACTTTCCAGTCTTGTTATAGTTCAAAATTGTTTATCCTTTCTTGTGGGAGATGTCTTATTTTCCACCCTACAGTCTCTTTCCCATAGTCACTATCTTGCAAATCTAGCACTGTTTCCATGGTAAATGATATGTCCCAGAAATGGCTATATTTGTTCGAACTAGCAAAGTGGTTTTGGACTACTGTAACCGAGTAGGACAAACTAGCAGGTAACCGTAATGGACTGGTCCTCATTGTAGTGGTAGGCAATAGGCGAAAACAATAGGCGTAGTCAATAGGTGTCGTATTGTACCTCCACATCAGTCTGTATTTATGGCTGACACCAGCCAATCATATTACTCTGAGGGGGAACCCAGGTGTATGCATATTCATTACATCAGTAAATGTTCAGATAAGCTCCATTCTTTAGTGCCACCAACTCAGAAACTTTGCAGTCAATACTTGCCTTGCTACATCCATAGAATTGAATCACCCTCATTCCTTATGCATTCCTTTGGCAAGTAGCATGTTCCATTCAGAAAGCTTCTTCACAAGAACTGTTATCTTGTGGAACAAACTTCTGTGTGGATGCTTCCTTGAACACTACAAGCTTAACCTTTTCAAGTCTAGAGTCAGTTGGGCCTTGTATTATGTGAACTTTAGTAAAAGAAATAAAAACTGCTTTCATTTTTTAAAACTTGGAAAAAACAGACACACATTGTCCCTTTTTCTTTTATTTCTTTGGCAAATAAATTTTGGTTTCACTTCATTTGCAGAAGTTTTAGAGTTTACTAATTTGAGTTTATTGCTTTTTTCTGCTTCTGTCATTTCCTTGTAAAACCTACACATTTAATATTGATAAATATGTGATTGAGTTTTGAAACTTGTCCATGAGACTATTTGACATTGGTGAATGGAAAGAAAGGAGTTAAATCAAAAACATAGCTTGGAACAAGATGAGAAGGGCTAATGAATAGTACAATGGACAGATCAAGAAAAAGAAGGGATATTTCTCTTTTTCCAAGGGAAAAGTTTAATTCTCTAAAACCAGAAAAATTACTTAAAGGTATTATTACCACAAGAAGCCATGTGGCAAGTTTTAATGAGGCAGCTCCAGAAATACCAGTTACAAAAACACAATATAAGCAGAATGGATAAAATTTGATCTGTAACCAAATCAAGGGAATAGAGTTTCTTTGTGTAACCTAGAGTTATTGGAAGGCAATGACCCTGGCAAGATTGTGGGGATGACTACGGGAGGAAGCAGCTGGTAAATTTCTGAATTTTAAGCAAAACCAGTTATGAGCAATTTTGCCTATGCGAAATTTTGAATTATAATTTTAATTAATGACCATAAGTTAAGTCAAACCAAGTGGTTGAGAGACTATTGGTTGAAGTGTAGCCAAGGTGGCAGGCGCAGTTGAAATATCAAGGTCAGTGGAGGAATTGCCCATGCCCTAGTGTTGGTGTGAGGTACCAAAATGAGAAGTAGAGTTAGAGTGGATCAATATCCTGTATTCATGGAAGATGGGATCTCCTCAAAATTGGGCATGTAATTAATTTCCCAAGACCAGACAACAATGGGCTCTTGTTGGCAATTAGGGCAATCACCAGAACCCCAGGCTATGTTGTACCCCATACCAGGTTCAAGTGAAGGTCCATATAAACAGGAAATTGAAGTGTTTCAGACACCGGACTAATGATGACCACTTCACCTGATCTCATGTGACTTCCTGCTTGAAGGAAGCCTCCAACATAAGCCTTGTGCCAGAAGCTTTGCTCAGACTTAGCGAAACCAACTGAATTGTCACTCTGAACCTATGAAGCAGGAAAGGTCAATATTTTCTGCATGAAGAACTAATAATTTTTAATATCAAGAATTAACCAAGTCCTATACAATATATAAAAACATTTTCTTTTACTCAAATTGTTTTTTATTTGTGACTTCACTCTGCCCAGACCAAACCAATACAATGATTCCTGTCAATGATTCGAACCTTGCCAGCCTTATGATCAAAATCAAACACAATGTGGAATAGGGCAAGGCTTGGATCAAAGTGATCAACTCATCGATCAGCCACAGAGATTGGACATCGGACGGACTAGCAAAGAAAAAGGCTACAGTCTATCAGCATTTAAATTATTGTAATTACTTTATTAGTGTTCAGAATGTAATTATGTATTTCACAGCTGTGAATTAGGAGTCAACCAATCAATGCAGAAACAAGGTTGAATGATAGGTAACAGTGTCTAGAATCAGATTATCATCTCTTCTATCCAATAGTGCATTTCAGAGTTTAATTGGAAAAACTTACAAAGAAGGAATTTGGATTCCTCATGAGTTTTTGCTTGTTAACTGAATACAATGTTCCACAATTTACAATGTCTTTTAATCAGAAATGCCAACTATTTTTGCATTGCATTGTTACAGATGTTAAAAAATGTTTCTTTTATGTCAACAGAAAGCAAAAGACTGAGAAATCAGTGCCAGTACCAAAACCAGGACTCTATCCACAGACGTTCTTGCTTTGTGTCTAGTGAAATATGAAAGTTGATATCCATTATGAGGTAATAGGACATGGAAGGACCATTATTGTAGATGTTTATTGTCAGCAACTTGATTGGGAAAATGAAACATTATATTGAAAATGTCCTGGTTTGGTAAAGAAGAAAGGTGTTATTATAATGCTGCGGGGCATCCTGGCCCCTGTGCTACATGACAACACTGTTCCATCCTCAGTCACTGGTATATCTGCGATTGAATCCTGTGGCTAACTGTGAAGTAGGTCACTTTGATCCAAGCCGCTCCCTGTCCCATATTGCGTTTGTTTTGATCACAAGGCAGGCAAAGATCAAATCATTACCAGATATCATTGGACTAGTGTCGTTCAGGTGGGATGATGTTATGAGACAAAAAAAGAAAGTTGTGTAAATCAAGAAGGTTTATATAACTGAGGTTTATACAGGAATACTTTTTCATATAAGAATCTACAAGCATGCAGGATAATGACCATTCATTCGTAGTCTAATTTCATGACACTTTGTCCTTCATTTCCAAGTCAGAGTCAAGTTTTCAAACTTTAAGTTGAAAAATTCTTCAGGCAGCAAATTAGAGAATGCTGATGACACACTTGTCTCCCTCTTTCTCTTTCTTTGTCATACAATAGAGACTTTCAATTCTTCTACTTTGCAATTTCATCAGATCACTCTGCTCAATTTATCTAACAAGGCATGATCAGGAGTTCTTTGTGGAAGCAAATTACATGGTGTAATGGAAGTGCATCTCTGCCTCAATTGCTGCTGTCTGTCTTCTCTTCTCTCACTTCTCACCCCTGGGATCTCTGCATGGCTATGGAGTCCAACCTCCAAAAATTGGGTTGGGGTTGACTTGTTCTGGGATGCCTCCAAGTCTCCTGTCACGCAATCAAATCTCTCCACAGGTGCTGCTGGGTGGCCCTTGTATGTCCAAATATGGGAAGCTCTCCCTGCAGGAGTGATGGTAGCAATACATCGATCCACCATCTTGTTCTCCCCACTTCTCTTGCTCATTCCAGTAGCTTTCTTTCCTCCCACTTCCTCATATCTGCTCTTCATGCTGCTGCCATCCAGGGAATAAGTGTTTCACCTAACACAAAAAGATGTTATTTTTAATGTCACCATAAAATTATTATCTGAATTCCTTCATTCCTAATTATCATGTTTGGTCTGTGATTTTTCCTCTTGACCAAAATTTTCAAGCCTAAGAAAATCTTGTTCCTTTAGTGACACATGCATCCTCCACCCCTCTATCAACAAGTGACATAGAATCATTACTTTACCCTTTTCCTCACCAACCTGTAGCCATAAAATTATTATCTGTGACTATTTTGGTGGTCTCTATCCAAAACCACACTTCCCTCACCTTGTCCTCTGGGCTTCATTTAACCAATGTTTCTAGCGAGGTCCTTATTCATGAAATGAGAAACAAAATGAATGTATATTTTCTTTTGTTTTCAGTATGTCCTTCAAGATATCAATTAC